ACCGATGGTTGTGGAGGACGTTTTAGATACATCGCTGACAATGCAGCCGTCTGCCATCCAGAAGTACAGAAACGTACCGCCTCCCCTCGACTGCGTGTACATGGGGCCTGCTGCTCTCTCCCTCTCTCAACTCTGGTTCGCGCCTTCTCTCTGCGGTGGTCTGTACCCCGAACTGCGACTGTCGTTGTGTGTGTGTGTGCGTGTGAGTGTGTGTGGCTGACAGGGGCATGGATCGTTCTTCGGCGGCCTTCGTTCTCTACGTGTACACATACTCGCTCTTTCCATCCACGCCGTCTCCTTCCCTTGCTCAACCTACCTACCTTCCACCTCGGAAATAATTGTTAGTGCGCGACAATGGATCTCGTCACTTCCACCACCCCTCCCCCTCCTCCCCCTCTTCCCCCGGCATGAGATGTGTCGAGAGGGCCGTTTTATGCAGACACCCTCCGTCAATGTCTGACACACCACCACCACAATCAGCAACTGTCTACACCCCTTCGATGACTGCACCAAGCGACAAAAGTATGAAATCGGTACGTACCCAGCATCTTTCACTCATGTCCAGACGTGAGAGGACGTGAGGTCTAGTGTAAGTGAGATGAGTGAGGTAAGGCAGGCAAGGTGACGCCAGCCGCCCGACATTCTGTCCCCACGACTCGCGGACCATTGGCTGCATCACACACAGTCTGTCGGTGAAGTGAGGTGAGGTTGGGTGGGGGGTTGTGGCTTGCAAGCTCTGTGTTGTCGATTCCTCTGTCTCGATCTCGAATGGACGGGTGGGCTGCGCATCGAGCCGCTGATGTGTAGTGAACCTAGGTAGGTACGCAGAGTATCTGTATGTGTATCTGTACACGTAGCGTGCTGGAGAGGTGGGCGGCGCATTCACCACCGCGCGTCAAGCCCAGCCCGGCCGAGCCCGGTGGAAAGTCAATTGTGGCAACCTCCATTGTGGCTCGTCTTCTGCCTGCACTTCCTCCAAAGCCTTTCTTTTCTGTCGAAATAAGGGTACGTACTTTACTTCGTGCCTGATCTACTGTGGCCGGCCGGGCCTTCCTTCCCCCCTTCAACTGTCAGCCGACACGACACCTTACTTTCTCTAACTTCAGTAGACTCGGAGCAGAGAGATTTGGAGAGTGGGGTACGTACAGGGGGGAGGTAAGGCAGGCAAGTCACGCTACCTGCGGGCGACGTTACCCTTCTGACGTAGTTGCTCCCCATTGTGTTTTTTTTTTTTTTTTTTTTTTTTTTTTTTTTTGCTGACCACGTTCTGACAGAGAAAGAGACAAGAGGACGCGGCAGAAGGTCGGATAATGGCTGCGTTAATCGCAAACCTACCGCGTGGGTGCCTTATGTGCCCTAGGTGCCTTATAGCACCTCCGCCTCTGTCCATTCGTCAACTGCATGTCTTCTCCCTGCTTGCAGACAGGATGGGAGGTAAAAGGTGAGCTCATCCGAGTCTGCTCAGATGGCAGGGCCCCTCCGCGCTGCATCAGGTCTGGTGTGGTGTGGTCTGTTCTGATCTCGTTCACTAACCGCTGGTCCCCTTTCCCTTTGTCTCTTCCTCGCGCGTCTAGCTCCGCACGACAACACTACTAAGTATGTCTGGACAAGAACTCGACGTTGCTGCCGTGCCCCATCTTGGCAGGGCACAAGGAAGGGCGGGGATCGAGGACGTGTCGGGCGGTGGCCGAAGGGGATTGTAAACACCCATGCCTGCTCATGTGCCTCCTGCCTTGCCTCACCTTAGAGGAGTCATGTTATGACGCTTGTGCCAAAACAACGAGGTTTGAGCTTCGCATCCCACCTCTCGCCCCATCTCATCGCCGATGGCATCTCTTTCGTCAGGTAAGGCGGATGGATACACATACCTTTCTGCCCAGGAAGTCGAACTTTGCCTCGCTCGGCCTTGCCGTCTGTGTTTGATGCGAACAGACCGGGAGAAGGTGCCACTGACTGTCGTTTTTGTCGTTGCCTCCTGCCAAGTTGGTCCAGAGAGCGAGCGCTGGCTGAAAAGGGAAGCCTCGCACATGGCAAGTGCGCGAAGGAGGACATACTACCGAAACTCTAAATCATCATTCACCCAGCAGCACTTGCCCCGACGTCGTCGTTCCTTCACCTTTTAGCTCCTCTCCTATCCTTCCTTTCCCTTCCCTTCGCTCATTTCACCGCCCAAACCACTACCTAGGCATAGGTAGGTGTGCATGCATGCATGCATGCACCTTTTGGTTTTCCCCATCCTCTCTTTGGCATTTCTGTGTACCGTGCGCCCTTCGCTTCCATCATTCCCATCTCTCTCCCGTTCCCCGCCCCCCCTCAACCCTCGTCCCCCGTCCCCCGTCCTCCGTCCCTTGCCCTTAACTGCCTTTGCTTTTGTTTTTATTTGGTCCTACTGTAACCTGTAACCCCCCTTCGACAGGCTACATCCTTCTCTCCCTAGTTCCCCGTTGCTCCTACCGTCACAGTGCGATGTGGGCTGGAGTGGATATAGTCTGATTAAGGCGTTGCGTCCTGGATCGGTCATTTCTTTGTATCATCGTGCTTCTGACAGCTCGATGCTCTATACCCCAGCACCACCGACCCCAGAAAACACCCAACGCTGATCGCTAGCCACTGGAGCATTGAGCGGCTTCGTCTCGCATGCCGTTTTTATTCATTTACCTACGGGCATGGCGTACGGACTATGTTTTGCATCACCATCTTCGCTGGGGGCCTCAACTATCGACTGGGTTACGCCTGGCAGAAGGCTTTCCGTTGCCCGTCCTCTTCTGGGCAATCGCACTTGTTATCCTGTTTGGTTATTTGTTTGTTTTTCTTTCGGTTTTCTTTCCTTTTTTCCCCCTCCTGATTCATTGTGTCCAAGCCGGCCACTCAAGATAATATGGCAACCGCCCCCCCCCCCCCCCCCCCCCCCCCTTCTCGCTCAATGCGTCGGACGCATTCCATTAGGAGGAGGCTTCATCCGCTTGTTCGCCGCCACTCCGTCTAGCCATTCCTGACCGGAGGCGCCTCAACGAGGCGTTACGTTTATCCCTCTGATTTATTAGCACGCGGGTTGGCTCAACAAACTGCTAGGAGAGCGACGACGGCCAACAAGATGCCGGTCTTTGTCATGGCTTGTCACATCCCTAATGTCTCGGCTCGTATCACTGAGAGCACGCCAATGGCTGTATACAGTACAGTCTCTGATACTGCTCACTCGCAGCATACCTTTGCAGAGCAGCTTTCCTTTCCTGCGTCGAATAGGGCTGGAGCACGGCAAAGAACCGTTTGTCCTACGGTTGGACGGAAGCCCATATCCTCTCGTCTTTTCTAGTGTAGTACCACTACGTATAGCTCTACTGCACACAGCCCCAACTATACGTTGGAATTGGTCTGCACGAAGACCCCTGGACCCTTAGACCGTGTGGCTGTGCAATCTCCGTTTTGCCCCCTTCCTAGGCCAAGCGAAGCTGCCGAGTCCCAATCGAGCTACGCCAGAAGGGCCGAGGGGCGGAACCTTCAGGCTCATTTGACAGACTCTAGTGCGCACGCACCGAAACGGTCATGCCCGACGACGCTCATAGGTAGAGCTGCTACGCTCCAACCGCCCTGACGTTACGCTAGGGATAGCCGACATGCTCGCTGAATTACGCTCCCGAGAAACCGGACTTGCCCTGACGGGAGGTGGCGACAACGGGAATCGTCATGCTCATCACCCAGCAGATCTTTGCATCTACGGCTAGGGTAGCCGGCACTGAAAGTTAGACTTCACTATCGGCATCAGCTCGGCTGGGTATCGTCGGCGACTTATTCGATGGCGACGACAGTCCAGCATTGACTGGGTATCTCCGCAACCAAGCTCTTGGGATGCGCCGTTTTCTTGACCACCGAGGGCAAGTCACTGCGCTATGCGCCGTGTTTGCTGTCTCGGTTCGGCAGCGCACTCAACATTCCATCCCTCTCTGATGTGCAGGTGCTCCTGTTACCAGCAATCCGCCCACCCCTGGCCGACGATGTATTAAGGGTGTTTGCTTAATCAGTCTCGATCCCTAGCGTATTTGCCACGGGGACGGGTCCGAGCAGCAAAGCGCACGCTCATACGCATCTTTTCCATTGTAAAAAAAAGCAAGCTGGATACCTATAGGGGGTGCAGCCTCTCTGATCCCAAGGCCGCCATCGTCCCAGTATGTCTACGCTAACACTCCGCTTCTTGCTGATGTGTCTGACTCGACATCCTTGGTTGTTCTCGACGGTGGCTTTCGGCCAGTCTGTCCTGTTCCAGACAACTGGCCAGGCAGGCCGGCCGTTTCACGCCATCTCACAAACTCTTCAGTAGCGCCGTCAGAAACGTCGCCAACGTTCGTTTAATCCGAATAGCGCGCCGTTGTCGCCCTTGGTACTCTTATTCGTTCCCGCCGGCACCAGGCACGTGGCGTGATTCCCGTCCCGCTCAGATGATTACTGATTGGTCTTGTGCTGTTTAGGCGTCACCGGCTGGCACACGGCATGAAGGAGCCAGCAAATCAACAATGCAAGTTGCCAGTTCGGTTACGACGCCACACCGAGATATGTATTGTATTATAGGTACTCCTCCACTTATTCGCCGGAGACGATTGCCATCGGCGGCGTTGAAATGGGAATGTCTCACAATCGCCATGGCCGTCCTAGTTCTCGGCGTGCTCGTAGCATCGACCACGGAGACCAAGTGTCGGCTTCTCTGAATCTCGCACACAATGGGAATGGGAGGCCATGCGAGGGTAACGCAATGCCTGGTCTTCGGCTGGCAGTTGCTCGAAGGGGGTGCAATTTCCGTAACATCGATTTTCGGGGGCGCTTGCATAAGGCCTAGATGCATAGTAGAACACGCTCATGCACCCACTATCTACTTGCTCGGCTGTTTGCGACGATTTTGCGAGAGAACACGACTACGACGCTCCATTGTCTTTTCGGTGGCACCCCATTTTTTCAGGCGTCTGGTTCATCATCATCCACATGTGAAGAGATGATGATGATGAAGAAGAAGAAGAAGAAGAAGAAGAAGAAGTAGAAAACAAGAATGAAAAAAGAAAGAAAGAAAAAAAGGGCCCGAGAATGGGGCTGTGTTGCCTTCATATCCGCGATACGACTCTACTGCAGCGTTCGAGCTTAGTGCATCGACTCAACCAAAGTATGGGCCCCGATATAACTGCAGCTCCCGTCATCTAACGTTCATTTGGACTTTGTAAGGGTATTCCGAAGGGTCCTAGCGGCATGTACTATGCTTGGCACTTGGGTATACTGACGCGACGACAATACCGGACGAAGAACGACGCTGCATTCCATTTTGCTTCTAAGCTTATCTCTTGCAGACTCCAACCGGGTCCGTATGCTAGGGTACAAGGCGTGTCTTGTCACTATTCACCTCTCACTTTCAACCAAACAAGAGCTTCACATTAATCGTGGTCGGGTGCCTGATGGCGGGGGAGAGGGTCAATGGGAGATTACCGGACCCAGTGGGTTCACACTCTGGCCATTGAAGAAAGCTCAAGAGTTCAATTGAGCCTGCTTGCGTGCTCATCAACAGAAGATCGACTGTCGATGAAGACTCGAGTGATGGCCAGACCGAAAGAATCCTTGAAATGGGCCAGCCGCCGGCCACAGCATTCTCCAGCACGTCCCAAGAGTTCGGTGGAGGCACTGGGTCCTGTTCGAGTGTCGACAACTGCCCCTGCAAAACACAAGCACCGGGTCTGTGTACAGTTCGTTCTAAGCGCCGGCGAACGTCAAGTCTTAACGACGTCTCCAAAGCGTTGGAATCACGCGAAGAGCCAGCACCAACGCACACGCACGCATACATGTATACACAGAATAGGGCGATATCACCCAACGGCTTTGTCGCATCAATGGCTCGAGAAACGTCAATGATAGCCTCACGGCGGGTCTGAAGTCGATATGAGGGTCCAAACCGTCTCATGTCAAGTCTAACCCCAGGGCCGGTATGCGTTTCGCATAACTGGGGTTGTCCCTAAATAACTCAGGATGAGGCCGGGGGTAACCGGAGAAGAACTGATGTCATAGTACAACCTCCTTACCCACATTTCAATTTATAGAGTTCGAAACGTCGACAACGGGTCGCGACAACCTCACGACTTGGTTCGGTTATCATGCAAGGAGATGCTATGCTTTTGCTCTGCTCGAGCCCTGCAGGAGCTGGCAGACTAGGTACCCCAAAAGTGCATGACAGGATGACGCCAGCATCCCAAGAGACATCTGTATGTCACTCTGGGGGTCGAGAACAAGGCTTCGCTTGTCTGTTCCTGATTGTCGATCATGTTTTCCACACCCTTGGTATCGACCCTGGGCATGGTTCGGTAGTTCGTTCCGGAGCACAGGTTTGACGGGAGAAACCACATGCCGCCGAGCTGGTATCTATGAACAACAACAACAACAACAACAGGTGCAAGCAGCCAGTATTTGTCAAGTATGACGAAGACCTTTTACAGTATAAGTTTGCAGCACAGAAGTCAAATGCCGGCACTATAGTCAAGAAAACGTAACCGGATCTCAGGGTTTGGCATCGGAACCGTATAGGGGCCGCCTCCCATCGCAGGGGTAGACCTGACAATACTGTCGTTTTGGGGCAGATTCCTGTCGGCCTCAGTATGGTGGTGCTACGCCTGTGCACAAGAGCACCCAAACCCCAAACAAATTCACCAAGCGTCAATAGTTGGTGTCCATTACTCTCTCTCTCTCTCTTCCTTCGAAAATGCGGCTCACGCCACATACACACCTCCCGTGTACAAGCCAGCCATCGTTGTCGTCATGGGCATGCACGGGATGAAGCCCTCGTGGGGTCGGCCTTGTGACCATTTGAAGAAAACATGGTGAGCATGGGACAAGGGTTGACAGAACTCAAGCTGAATATCGCCTCCCCAAAGTCGCACTGTTGCCATCGCCAAAAAGTCAAATGCCTCACTGACGACACCGGTGACCAGCCGGAATGGAACTCGCAACATGGGCTCTGATCTTGATGGGGGAGTTTTTTTTTTTTTTTTTTTTTTTTTTTTTTTTTTTTTTTTTTTTTGCTTGCTTGCTTGTTGCCACATGGATGGAGACCAACACCAAAATTTTCTTCACTCTTACACTCTGAAGTGGATGTTGACGAGAATGGAGAGGACGATCTGGTGCCCTGCTTTCCCGCATTAGGCACTGAGGAGAAAGTAAGCTACATAGTACAAGTACGGGAGTATGGACTATGTAGCTTATACGTTATACAGGGAGTTTATGTACAGTACAGGACGCAGGGGGACCCAGCCTGAGCAGGCTCCATCTCATCTCCATTTTTTATCTTCGACAAGGACCGGGGATAGATGTTGACGTTGGAGAGAGAAGGCACCGCCACGGATGAATGATGTCATAAGGTGTCCGGCAAAACGCAGTTCTCCCCCCCCCCCCCCCCCTCTCCCTCTCCCAAAGGGCGGGTCTCTTTCACGGAAATGTCTTCTCGTCTCCACCGGGCTCATATCTTTCGATGCCTCTGGCTCCATCTCTCTCCAATGAGCTGACGAGTCGCCCCTATAGCCTTCCTCCTCTTACTCAGTGCTGCTGCACCGAACCTGCATGTTTTCGTTTGCAAAACAAAACTCTACGCGGCACGCTCGATTCGTGGCAGTGGTCGACGACAGAGAGGCGACGGGAGATGCAGCATCAACCGTCGCGAAGAGATGAAACCGGCGACGACTACCTACAGGCACGCGATGGTTACCCTAGAACCAATTACGAAGTTGCGCGGAACAGATTTCGAAACCGGAACCCTGCCATCTGATCATGCCCTTTACTCACGGAGTCGTCCCAGCTTGGCGGCTCTTCTTCGCGCTCCTCGATGCCTGCAGGGCACATCCCATGCCGTCCGAATCGGGATGTTGTGATAGCCGGAGCAACGCCATACCACCTACAGAAGGCCCCCCCCCTCGTCTGGGCTCTCTTTACGGCTCCACGAGAACATTGGAATACGGGATCCAGTTTTGGCGTCTCGCGCCGCTCGGAGTGCGGCACATTGATGATGTGGCTGCGGTGCGCCAGATGGACCTCGTTACCGAGTCTACTTGAGCGCATGTTCAAAGGCGCCCCTCCCAAGCCGCTACAGCGACATTATGCTCAACTGAATTGCTTGGCCGGATAATCCGCCGGGTGGGTACGGAAATGGGTGCTGTCATGGCGAGATTGTAGAGTACTTTGCCAACGGGTCACTGCTCCCAGAGCTTACCCCGGGATCTCATGGTCTCTCTTCCCAGGATACCATGTCCAATTCAGTTTGTGCCGCCACCCAACAGGAAGCCACGATACCAACGTGACCAGTGACGATGTTGCCCTCCCACGAGGACAACGCTGTGGCAACATCGTGATTGAGGAACTAGGTATCAAAAGCCTATGCCACGGTACACACGAATATCAAGCCATGCTGTTGACGAAGCCCCTGGAATCGGCAACGCACCTTGGAAAACGTGCCTCGGTCATTTTACATAGTAGTTTAGTACAGGCCCAGATCGAAGCTATCTGTCTTGCACTACGGTGTCTAGGGCCGCAGGTTTCGCCAAGCTTTGCGAGTGCAACGTTTTATTTTTTATTTTTTGCTGGTCTGTGTGGGTAAGCAGCCCTGACGGAGCCTGGGTTCAAGGTGTCATGCATGTTGATGGGGCCGGAGGGCGTGTGGCATCGGAGCACACGCTCATGGGGGAATAGGCTTGCTTGCCAGCAGACCCCCATGTCGTTCCGCCGGTTTTTTCCTCACGCAAGCTCAATATCCGCTCGAGTTTGCGACCACTGTCGATGGTGGGCAACCCCGATCCGTGGGCTCGTCTGTATTTTGGAAGCCCGTATCGGGGCCATCCCGCGCCTGCGGCACGACTAATGAAGGATGAGCACTGCCAGTAGGGTTTTGGTCCCCTCAAGGGTCCTGCCACCCGTCTACCGTAGGGGACTGCTCGAGTCTTTCTTGGGCATGATCGCCGGTGAAGCCAAAGTTAGTCCGACAGTCCGACATCATGACATCCAGTAGCTACGCCTGCCACGCACATGGCAGTCATATCATGATTAGTAGTACAGCGCATACGGGCGGGCGATGGGTCATGTCAGACGGGTCGGATTCACCTCAGCATTATACGCAAGGCCCCTCGGACAGCTTCCCCCCCGTCGGAGCTGCATGGCGCGCCTCACGACCATGCCGCGGTTGGAACTGGCAAAACCCTACGACGTCTCGTGTGTGTTGAACCACCAGGGGGGGCGGCGGTCGGTGGCTACCGTCCGAAAACGTCGATTGGAAATGACGCAAGTTGGACAATATCACGCCCCGTTATGTGCCAACAAACCTGACAAAATGCAGCTCATCCGTCGCACGCGAGTCAGTTCAAATGTCTGTACCAAAAGATGCATTTGGATGGAATCCCAAATCACCAAACAGAGGGAGGGGGCGGGAGGCGGTAGAGACCCCCCCTGGTCTCTCATCCTGGGGGGCTTAATTGCAATCTTAGCGAGCTGCGAGCGCAGTAGTCGCACACACGCACAAGGCCACATAGGCCGCAGCGCAGTCAGAGGAGGCATAGTCAACAGAGAGTCAACGAGGGAGCGCCGCCTTTGGGCTGTGGGGACGCGCGAAGTCGCCCGTCCGGCGCGTCGGTGATGAGGAGCTTTCGTCAATATGCGTCAGCGCGGCCTCTCTCTCGTTAGCGGGCGGTTGAGTTCACCTGCTTGGGTCAAGGTCCCCACCTCACGTCGCAGTGGGAGTCCCGGGGCACAACGTGCACTTTGCCGGAACTGGAAAAAGACGGCCCCCATCCAGGGACCGTTGTCGTCGTCCTTCCCCTTCCCCCTCCCGGAACGTGCCCTTCCTCTCGGGACTAAGAGATGACGATGCCTTAGAGTCAATCTTGTAAGCGCCGGGGGACGAGGGTGGCCGGGCAGAGGTTGCAGCACTAACGGCGGCAAAGGGAAAAAAGCAAAGGTGTATCGGTGGCAGATGCGCAGGTACGACGATGTCGTTTACTTGGATGCGCAAGCGTCATCCCTATACGGTGGCCATTCGGCGTCCATACGGCGATATACGATGGACGTCTATAAACTAGTGTAGGTAGTTGAGCAGAGACAGGAAGCGTGAGCGCCGCCGCACATGCATCACGTCAGAGCCATCCGCTCGCCCACGATAATTCCATCCAATGTGCAAGTTGGGGCGGGACGTTTGGTCCAATCTCGTCGAGTTTTGATTTCCGGAGAAGAAGAAGAAGAGGAAAGAGAAGAAGAAGAAAAAGGAACCAACAAGAGTCAGTTGCTGGTTCGTGTGCTCGTGCCGTGCAGTGGCTGTCGAAGGTCGCTCGGCAATCCAAGACCTCTCACTGGTGGTCGGAGAGAGTTCCGCGCGCGCGTGCGACAGCGCCCCTGTGGCGAGCTGGGCTGGGATCAGGGTTGGGTTCCGCGGATTTGCCCTAGGAACACCTTAACAACCGTAAGGGGTCCCCCAGGGACGCCGCCGGGATGCATCGATTATTGGCGGCCGCGGTTGCCGAAGACGGGCTGTTTCCCGCCGATCATGAGGTCATTGTCGAGTGGAAAACTGTTCGCGAGACCTTTCCATTGCGTGGGTTTTGCGGGGGCACCGGCGCCCTTGGGCCGGGCTTACGCAACACTTGCGAAGGGAAAAGGGAGGAGGGGTGGGGGAAGGGGGAGGGGGCGGCATGAATGCATATGCGGCAGATGATGGCACTCGATGAAGCTCGGCTCCAGTCATCAACAATTGATGAGCGGAACAAAGTTTGCATTGGGCTTGGGAACGAGGGACTCGGAAAAAGAATGTTCAACCCGCGATGATCATTCCTCGACGAGGTATGCTTCTCGACGGCCAGGAGATCATCCTCAATGGAACCCTTGATCGCAGGGCCCCTGGGGAAATCATTGGAAATGGGATATATTTATAGAGGGCTGAGCCACGACGGTGATGGTGGGGGGGAGCCCATAAACCACCACTTGGGGACGTATTGGGGGAGGAGGCACTGACGTTATTTGCGTACGATTTCTGTAAGCGGCAGACATGGGGGGATGTTTGGGTATTGCATTGGACCGGGAAGGGGGCTCGGTGGTTGTAAAGCACCCCCGGTCCCCCGAGACGCATATCCGACGTCGAGGATCTCAAGAGGGGGGGAGACGGCGGCGCATTGGCGCGAGCAGGGCCGTGATGCCCGGGCCCTGGGCTCCGGTCAACCACGGGACTTTGCCACACGCTGATCTCTCGTGTTCGGCCGGATCCCCGAGGGGGGGGGGGGGGTGATCACAGAGACGCCGGGAGGGTGGAAATTTTGAGGGTGCATTGCGGCGAAGCAAGGAGAATGAAGGGGGGGCAAACCCGTTGGACGGTATGGATCATTGTCGGTCGGTGCTTATTGGGCGGGGTTTTGTTATTGAAGCTTGATTCCTGGTCGATTTAGTCTTTCCACCGATGCGATGCAACGCTTCAGGCGAACCCGGCGGTTGGTATGCTGGAAGAACGGTAAGAACAACGCAGATCTTCCAAGATTCCCGTTACGTCAGGAGACCCTGAAGTTGGCAGTTGGAAGGGGGGGGGCAAGAAAATCTCGAGGGTCTATACGAAGAGGCAAGCCTGGTTGGCACGCAGGTTGGCTGGCTTATTCCTCCGTTGGCACGAGCCGAGCGCAGCATGCAGGTACAAACGTACATTGCCCTGCCCCCCCTAAGGGTGGGACATTGTTGCATTCTCCGGCAAGTTTGATTCAAGCCATCTCGAGAGGGCCGTTCACTGTCGAGGGGGGGAGGGGGGTTTCTGACAGCAACATTGGGGGGCTCATTCATTGAAAAGGGAGAACTTCCGGAACGACGATCCCGGGATGTAAGGCGATGCAGGAAGGGTTGCACGGTGGATGGAGAGAGGTGCATTGTAACCCTTTTTTAGTTCTCGCCTCCGTACTGCTGTGGGCGCGATGAGGGTCTAATATCAAGATACTCGCGGTACGAAGCCGACAATGTATCTTTTCTCGTCTCTGGCCGGCCGATGGTGAAGGGAGGGGGGGATGAGATTTGATGCAACAGAGAAATGCCGCGAACCCGCTTTCAAACACACAACCTTGGATGGCATGCTCTTGCCACCCCTCGTCAAGACCCTGAGGTGGCATGACAAGAGGGCTTCAACCAGGGGATCTGCAGCAGCAATAGTTGCAGCCGCAGCAGCATTCCGGTGAACCGTAGAAAGCTCAATGACATGGTTAGATAGTGCATGCCCTCTCAGGGGTGGGAGAGAGATGAAGGATGGTGTAACTGTAGGTGTACGGTGGCAGGGTGTGTGTTGTTGTCTCGTGATGGCTTCATGTGATGAGGTCACGAGATACACGAAAGGGGTGGCGGTGGCGGCGGCGGCGTCGTTGTCGTCGGCGGGGACTCTTGAATGCGGCTCTAGGGCGAATTGCCCTCGTGATCAGTGGTGAGTGGATGAGTAGGGCCGTTGGTCGCCCATTGCACATGGGAACGTTATATATGAGCACCGAGGTTGACTCTGAGGATTTGATTCGGCCTTTGATCCGGAGTGCGAGCGTGGGGATTGGGGGCGCAGATGTGGTCGTGCATGCTGGCTGGCATCCCAGACAAGCCCACGGCACAGCTATCTAAGACATGCGGGCTTGGCCTTAGTCTGGCACGAAAGAACACGTGCGGCCGGTTTGGGTGAGATTGCCATCAATGGTGATTCTACCGCACGTGCTCAGGGGCGGCAGCTTCGCGGGCCGGCTGGCTAGTTTGGCTGGCTGGATGAGGCCCGGCTTGCTTAGGGGTTGGCCGTGACGGGCTTTCGGTAGGCGGTCGGGGGTGTCGTAGAGTCGAAGGAGCGTGTGGCGTTTTGGCGGTCAACACAAACTGTGAAATCCCCAGAATCGTGGCTTTCATGAGCTTCGTCGCATCAAGTCGAACCGGGCCTTTTGTCTCTCCCTACACCTCTGGTCTGCCCACGGTGCTCCTGCTCTACGGAGAGGGAGAGGGTTTGCAACCTTCAGAAGCCTTCAACGAGTTCATCTCATGTGCGTATCACAACGTCCCAAGCGTTGTCTTGAATGTAGTTCATGTCGGTGTCTCGGGAAAATAAGGTTAAAACAACGGGCCACGGGACGAGAGAATTCTGCAGGGGGGGGAGGAACAAACCCCCAACGCCGGGCCGGGTGCGATCCCTTCCCTTACCTACCTATTTACCACGCAAACGGTTCACCCCTTTCGAGCAGATAGATGGCGGCAGCGGAGCATTCGGGGCCTTGTGACGGGATGGGCGAGCAAGGTGCGTGCCGCCGCAGCCTCTCGTTCCTGCCATGTGCTTTGCGGGTTGAAGGCTGAAGGATATTCGCGATATCGAGATGGGGAGGGGCTTGTGACAGCGGTCGGATTGGCCATGTGCGCGGATGATTGGCCGATGTCCGGCCCGGGGGCGGACGAGGCCGCCCTACGTGCTTGCGGTCGCTGGCACATGACTAGATGGCGGTCCGGACCCAGCCTTTGTTTCCTTCGGGTGAGGGGGATGGGGATGGATGGCTCTCAATGGCGGTGGCAGCGGCGGCTGGATAATTCGCACGGGATTCGGTTTCGACGATGTATAGTGGGAAACTGCAAAGGAAAGAAGCCACGTTGAGATTTCTCGGTTGACTTGTACACTGGTCGAAGCCGACCCGTTGCCAAAAGTCAGAGGTGCAAGGCCCTCGTTTCTGATGTAGCTTTTTGGAACGTGCGGGACCTTATCGCAGCTCTTATCGGACTAGGTACGGAGTACTCCGTAGGTGCTGGGTGAATTCAGTAGGCTCCGGCGGCATCTGAAACCGTGTGCCCTAGGATCTGGGACCTGGGTATACAGTGCCGGCTCTTATCAGACTGCGGTATCAACACCAGCGATATCACCATGCTTCGTACTGTGCTTGGCCATAAACAGCACAGTATTTGGAAGTACCCGTCTCCGCTGAGCCGCGGCGTCACCACTTGCCTTCCCGCGCCGATGCATGGAGCTTCCTCTCTCCCGTGCGGTATCCGTACCTTCTTATGTATGTGTCTGCTTTCGCCATTTCATGTCCACTCGGGTGCCGTGCATGACATTTTTTTACGTATCTCCCGGGCCTAGGTTTGCGTTCGATTCTCGCTTCTTAATCCCAACAGCCCCTTTTCTTACACCCATTGTTTGGGACATGCTGTACAAACATTCAAGCATCTTCTTCACTTGACCACCTCGCGACGTGTCTCGAAACTTGCCCACGTATCCGATAGGACGAACGTCTTTGACCGACAAGGAAAGGCAGAGAAAGATACAGAGGTCTTGTTCCTCTGTGTGTTTTCACCCCTTTCTCCGCTGCCGCGCTCACGAGTCGCGACGACTGAAACGAAACGGACACACGCTCTCTCAACGCACACACACACACACACACACACACACACACGCCCAACACTCCCCCCGAACATATTCCGCTCACCGCACCACATCTTTGACCGGGAGTTGAGATCAATCCCCTCCCCCCTCCCTTGGCCCCCCTCTGGCCCCATCCTCTTTTATTTTCCTTCTGCCTCTGATCTCTGTTGCGAACCTTCTTCCAACGACGAGCACTGTTACCGCCAACGCTCTACGCTACCTTTGTGGCCTGTAGCTCGGCATCTCGACCCCGCAAGCCGGTCTCGGCACCCCACCTTATCGCAGCAAGCCGCTTTTCTGTGCCTGGGCATTTCTTGGAGTAACCAAACAAAGAGACCGTCGTCGTCATCGCCTACCCAAATCTCGACCGTCCGACCGACTCTTCGAACCATTTACCCCCTCCCCTTTTCACAGTAACGATTCCAACCATGGCTGCCGCGGCTACGCACGACGCACCCGAGGAGCCTCAGAGCGATGGCTCCAAGCTCAAGACCTTTATCGGTATCCTGAAGAAGTGAGTTTGCCACCCTACCGGCTGGATTCCCTTCGCCGTTTCGTCCTGCATGCGCCGCACACTGCGAGGAGCGGGAGCAATACAGCAACACCACATGGTTGCGGCGGCGAGCAGTGGTTACCTAGGGGCGAAACCGCATCCATCGCCAGCGAACATCGGCATCGTCAGCAAGCAGGTGCAGGCAGACAGGCGAGCGCTCTTCTTGGGGGTCATTTTTTCCTAAATAGATGGTCACCCGGCTAACCTGCTTCGTCTTCCGTCCAGGTTCATCGGCGTCGCCGACCTCGCCGCTGTGCGCTTCTCTCTTCCTTCTCAGCTCCTTGAGCCGACGCCGAACCTCGAATACTGGAACTACCTGGACGCGCCCAACGCCTTCGCCGCCATCGGCACTTCGGATGAGCCTCTGGATCGCATGCTCGAGGTCTGTCGCTTCTGGTTCACAAAGGACCTCAAGTATGTCAAGGGCAGGCCCTGCAAGCCCTACAACTCGTGCCTGGGAGAGTTCTTCAGGGTGAATCCCCTTGGCTTGCGCAACATCTGGCCTCCACCATGACTAGTGATGCTGACGCTCGACGACGTGACAGTGCAACTGGGAAATCGAGGACAATGCACCCAAGATCGACACCGCAGCCCTTCAGAGCGCCGGAAGCGGCACCACCAGCAGCTCGTCCAGCTTCAAGTCGGCCAAGGTCGACAAGAACGCATCGGCCGTCTCGCTGTCTGTTCCGCAGCACGGCACTTCGACCCCCGAGAGCAAACCTCTCCGCATCTCCTACCTCACCGAGCAGACCTCCCACCACCCGCCAGTGAGTGCCTTCCACGTCAGCTGCCCCGATAAGGGCCTCTCCGCCCGCGGGTATGACCAGATCACGGCCAAGTTCACTGGCACCAGCGTCCGCGTTCTGCCCGGCGAGCACAACCTCGGCATCTTCATCACGCTCGACAAGCGCGGAGGCGAGACGTATCGCCTGACGCATCCCGCCGCCCACCTCGGCGGTATTCTCAGAGGAAGTCTAAGCGTCAGCGTCAGCGAGATGGCGTACATTACGTGCCCGGAGACCAAGCTCAAGACGATCCTTCATTACGTCGAGGCTGGCTGGCTCGGCCGCTCCACGAACCGCGTCGAGGGTATCATCTTCAAGTACGACCCCGAGAACGACGACAAGATGAACATCAAGGACGTGCCTGAGGCCGACATTGTTGCCCGCCTCAGCGGCCCGTGGCGCGAAAAGATCGAGTTTACTCTCGGTCCCAAGCCAGTCGTATGTGCCCCTTCCCCCTTCTCTCTCTTCCTCTCTCCCCTCTTAGGTGCTGACCAGAAGCAGAACTCGCACCCCCCTGAAGCGAGGTACACCATCATCGACCTCGCTCCCCTCAACGTCGCGCCCAAGGTTGTGCCACCGAAGGAGAAGCAGCTCGAGAACGAGTCCCTGACGATGTGGGGCGGCGTCACCGAGGCCATTCACGCAAAGCAGTTCTCCAAGGCCACACAGGTCAAGATCGATCTCGAGGAGAAGCAGCGTGAGCTGGCGCGCGAGCGCGAGCGCACTGGCGAGGCCTTCAAGCCCGTGTTCTTCGTGCAGGTGACGGACCAGGGCGGCAAACCCGTGCTGACGGAGAAGGGCCGCGAGGTGCTCGCGCGCGCGCAGAGGAACGAGTGGGACATGAGCGGCATCGTATGATAACAGTCCATCTCACCGCAAGTATTTCATCCTTGGATTGTCAAGTCCGTGGAACTGGACGTTGCATATGATGTGCTGGATCAGGAGAGCCACACTCACAGCACTGGAGCTGCTGCGTCAGGCTTCTATTATCCTATCCTCCCCCCCCCCCCCTTTTTTTTTTCCTTTCCGTATTGGTTACCCTCGGGTTTTTGATGCTTGGCTACTATTGTTCTCATTTTGCCTTCTTGATTTGACGGCCGACGGCATGACACAAGAATGGGTTCCAGGACTTGAAGAGGACTTGGTGCATTGCCTTTTTGTTTTACTTGTCCCTCCCTTCTCTCGTTGACGAACCCCGCTCCGGCGCATACATATCGGAGCGGGAGGATATTCACGGCGATGTGGGGGCTGCTGCATCGCATTGCACTGCTGGTAGATTGGAATCGGGTCGGTGGAGAAAGACTTTGGGAGTTACTGAGAGAGGAAGCATCGTTCGCTTGAGTGTACCCTCGGTGGTGACGAAGCGGAGAATGATGGGGGGGGGGCACACTACACAGATCAGATCATACATACACAAACACGCCTTTCGCGAGAGGCTGGGCGCTGGTATCTTTTAGAGGGTTCATTTTGAGTTTATTAATACAATCTATCCGCATTGATTGTCTCGTCCGAGGTCGCGATCAAAGGCAAATGATGCATGCGGCTCTGCTGGGCTTCGACGCGAACAGGAGGGGCGTGCCAAGGTTCGATGAGATGGGCATGATTTGCGGATGAGATGAGGGTTCGGGGGATCCAACGACGAAGCATTATTGGTAAGCTTCTCTTCCTTTTGGGGGTTTGGGGGTCCGAAAGGAGGTAGCCAGTCTGCTGGTCTATTGCTGGGTTGGTCGTTGGTCTCAACTTTCCGGGGGCATGAAGGATGACGGGTATTACCAGGCGTTTCCTGTCTTGTGCTTTGCGGATGGGAAACTCTCCGTAGTGTTGGGACCGCGGCGGGGGGGGGGGGGTTCGGATCTGGGCTGTGTTGTTCCATGGTCCGGCCCCTCCCGGCTCCGGTGGGGTCCCCCGCGCTGTCCCAGGTTTCTTTGATTGTCGGTGCGGTGGACTGGAACGATGGACGACACAGTATGCCGCAACGGTCAGCTGCGTTTACTTTCCGTCCCCGTCCCCGTCCCTCCCGATTGGTCTTCTTTGCAGGGTTTTATTTCTCTCTCTCTTTTTCTTTCCAGTTTCTTCTAGAAGGGTGTCCTGTGATGGATGGTCGATAGGAATTGAAGCTCTGTGTGGCTTCGGCAAGAATGAACAGGGGCTTTTCTGCCGGCAGACGCCTTAATAACTTTCTGTCAAAGGTAGTCTACCGAAGGTATATTGCAAGGACTACCAGGCTTAGGCATTGTTGAGACGGGAACAGAACTCTGCGAGGGTATTAAGTAGCTCGGAAAGCTGATTTGCTTTTCTTCGATCCCGCGACATCTTCTTCGACTACTTTCACTGGCTCTCTATGGAGCCTTTGTCTTCGGCGTTGGCTGTGGCTAAGGCTCCAATGGAGGAGGTACCAGCTACGATTGCCTTATAGCCTCTGAAACTCTGCGCACAATCAGCAAGAGGTGAATTGAAGAGGATGGGAGAAGCAGCAAAACCTGTTTGATACACCACACGCACCATGTAAACAATCGAGTTGAGCTTGGCAAGCAATGTGTTTTTTAAAATGCATTATTAGTGACGTTTTGAGCAACCAAGCTCGTCTATAAGAGGGGAGGCTCTAGAGCATTAATTAAGGAGACCAGCATTCATCTCTCAAATGTGGACGAGCTGCCTAGCAAGGTTTGTTGAGGCACGCGCTGTACCTTGGACTATTTGCAATTGCATTTGGTGTCGCACTTTCCGTTCCGTTCTCCAATGCCTCAAACCCAGTCCAATTCATCACACCTCGTTTCTATGCATGGTCTGTCATCATCAAGTGTCAGTTGTGTGACCGTGAAGTTGGGTGGCAGTGATGGCAGAGATCTTACCAACAGCAAAAAACACCGAAAGGAAACCCGCTCCTCCTTCTTTCTCCCTGTCCCTCTTCTGCCTCGATGCCCTTTTGAACATTCCTACTGCTTCCCAGCCCACTCGCCATCGCTCTGAGCAGGCTCGTAGCACTTGCACACCTCCTGTAGGAACCGAAGGCGCAGCCCCTCGTCCGTGCGGACAATCTCCACGCTCTCCTCGTTCACCCAGTACTGGCCGCAGGTGATGCGGACTCCGGCATCCCACAGCGGCTCCCACAGCGAAAGGAGCCGCGTCGGGTCCTCGCTGACCTGCTCCGCCAGCTGGGGGTAGATGTCAGGGTCGACGGGCTGCAGCTCGCCGTGGAGGTGCGGCTCCGCGGGGCGCCCGGGGCGGGCCATGGGGCAGGGCCACAGGGCGATGGACTTGAGATTCGGCAGCGACGCGATCGCCTGGATCTCGGTCTTCCTGGCGTCTACGAGCAGGCCGTCCGAGTACCGGGCCTTCTGGATGTGCTTCATGTCCTCGAGGCTCTTGCCCGTGGCGTTCAGGATCGCGTTCTCCAGGGTGTTCTTGTTGTCTCCGTCGTCGTTGTACCGGCGGGTGAAGGTCTCGAGGTGGAAGCGGTCGTGCTCGGGACAGACCCAGGTGTAGCGGAGCGGCGCGGCCTTGGGCTTCGTGTTCCCGAAGCTGAAGAGGTTGGTGGATCGGTGGTAGCTTGGGAAACGGGGCAGCCGACGGTCGACAAGGGCGCGTGTTGTGCTGTTGATCTGGGATGCGAGGCGTATAAGCTGAAAGCGCCGGAGGTGAGTCATGTGGCTTTGGTTGTAGTCGTCAATGATGTAGATCTGGTCGATTGCGTCTTCGCATCCGTCAACAATCCACGTCTCAGGGCTAGCAGCAATCTCGGCGTACGCCTTATCGACGAGTTTCTCAAAGATGTTGAGTTTGATCTCCATCGAAAGCTCTCTGAACAGGCTGCTGATAGCCACGTCCTGCTGATGGGTTTGAATTGCCATGTTTGCGGATGCCAATGCGTCGCCTGTGAGTCTTGGGTTCTGCGACGAAGAGGAATACTGGGTCGCTTCACTCTTCTAAAGGAGAGAAAAAAGGATTTGGAAGAAGGGGAACTTTCTGCAGTGTTGTGAAAAGACTGAAGTATACGGCTGAGCGAGATTATGTGAGTTGGGTGTGAGAGCAGATTGCAATTCACTGCTTCCAGAGATAAGAATTCGGAAGGAACGAGTCGGGGACTGCCAATGAGATGTTGACAGGATCAAGAAATAAAGCGGCAGGCTTTTTTTTTTGCGCAGTGTGGTGAATGCGGTTTGGACGTGAGTTACCAGCGGTCTTTAACAACAATCTTTACTTACACCACCTAATGGATCTGCTTGTGCTTTGACAGCTCTCCAGTTCGGTCATGTTCTCTGCTTCTTTTGAAAGCCCACCTCTGTTCTTTCACCAACCAACCATTGTCTGTCCACCTGGGTTGTAGACCAGATACTCCAGCATTGGTTTTCTTAGTACAGTGAATGATATTTCCAAAGCACTTGTCTCTCTACGACTAGCTGACCTGTTCTTCTTTGATTGAGATTCCCGCTGTTGATCGATACATTCAGTGAGGGGGTGGAAAACTCACCATCGAGCGAACAAAGCCCTGAACTATGACCAGGATCTTATATGCTAGGACACGCCTAGTAATAATATACTCTCTTCAAGAAAGTGTTTGGATGAAATGTGTTAGGCCACCCTCTGTCCTGCTATAATGGCTATCCTTAAGGTTATGGGGCGTCGATGCCACTACTCGCTCTACCTAAACGATGTCGGTTCAACGTCTTTGAAACGTCATGTTAAGTTTCTGGCAACAATGTGAAGTATGTTATCTGGTGGGACGTGTAGAAAGTATTCGCTGTCCTCTTCTGGCCTCTACCCATGTCCTTTTACTCTCTTTGTCGTAACACTGGGGATTATCACCTTCTTCCCTAACCCTCAATGAGTATACCGGACCCAGTTGCTACCATTCTCCTAATATAGACTTGTCTCAAGTGTTCCGAGGTCTCATCACGCTAACTTATCGACTTTGTTAGATGTCTGGCTGTTTCAAGAGCCAGCTGTTACTCGAAGATGATGGCCTTCCTCCCACGCCATCATCCGACAGCAACTGGTCGGCATTTCAAATGAACGGTTAACATCGTTGGTGGATCTTAGGCTCCCGCCGTTGCCGTAGCTTCGACTAGTCAAAAGCATTTGCCTTCAGTTTCCAACCGCCACTGTATAATCTGCTATCATCATGTTGGCTCATGATGCCGTCGTTTCTTCTAGACACCCATTGGTATTTCTTGATATGAAAATCGCAGTTATTGTGACTGTCACACTGTTCTTGTGTGTGTGTGTGTGTGTGTGTGTGGGTGGGTGGGAGGGTGGGTTTTTTTTTTTTTTTTTTTTTTCAACTGTCCTTGGTCGCCCCTAACGAATCGCCTCAAGGTCTCAGTGATAGTCAGCATACGTGTCAATATAGCCGTTATAGCCACGGTCGATGATGCTGTTATACTCATTTACACTACCTCAATCTCCAGGAAGAAGAGGCGGAGTGTAATGCAATTGTATGTAGAGCACAAAAGATTTCGGTATTGACAGCAGCCCAAAGATGGGAACGCCATGCTTATCCACATCAACTTTCGGTCGGCATAACGAACGTTATCATTCACAGCGGCTGATTGACTCAGGTTGTGTTGCTGGATGACGGCGCTACACTTATAATACTCACGAAGACCAAATGATAAGAAGCGAAGAGAACTCAACAACAGGAACATACGCGAGCAGCAACGTCTCGTCCCCATTCTGGGAAACCACGACACCATGGCTGGGAACTCCCATGCTTTTATGAGGCTCGCCAAAGTAGCATGCCAAAACTCCGATGCAAAATCCGCATGGCCGAAACCTACATGTTGGCCAACACAGCTGAACTGGGGAAAAGAGGGAAAAGAGACGAAATTGTGTGGGCGCGCAATGTAAATCCAAGCCAGTGTAGCAGATATATAGATGTCTCAAATTGCAATGAGGGGCACAAGGAAGTGCAGCCGGCGGGATGTAACCAAGCTGAGGCTAGACATGCCGGCTTTGTGGTGTAATCTCGGGGCTCCACCACCGCAGGTCCATAAAACACAGCATATACACCACGATAAACGTGGTATAAGTCGACGACAAGAGACTTTGCTAGGCTAAACTCAGCAACAAAAGCGTTTTTTCTTTTCTTTTTCAAAGTCTATATATCCTGAACTTTCTAACAGGAAATCAAATGAGTTGTTCCTTTTTTATGTTCTGTTTTGTTTCGTTTGGACATGTTCTTCAGGGTAGAGTGGGAGAAAGCAAAGATCAGACGGGCTGTACAAAGATGCTGGCCTGTTGTCTACATAAGACGAACTGTTCTTCAACCATGCCGACAAGTCGGGTTCGACGGCGTGGGAACGTGGGACCCCACGCCAGCCCGTGCGACATTGCCATTAATCTTGGCCGCTAGTGAGCCGCGGCGTCTGTCAACGTCACCCAAGATAAGCCCGGTTCGAACCGAGGGATTGGAGGGGAAAGGGCGGCAGGGAGCTTGAAGCCAAGATGGCCTCGACCGCAATAGACTCGGATGGCGAAGAACGTAGTGTCATACTTGTCTTTGCCCCTGAACCAGCCAACTCGAGCTAGGGTTTGATGCTGTCTATCTAATAAAGAACAAAGAAGCAATGGTGCACACCTTGATTGGCCGCACCCCGCACTCACAGGGGACTCCACGCCGGGAGGGGCAAATGAAGTTGCTCCACGACGGCCCTTGGGTTTCTTGTTCCGTTTAACTGGGATCTGCAATGCATAGCTGGATAATGTCCGGCGGCTGCAACTGAGAGAATTAGACGAGAGCGAGGGTGTCAGAGAAGAAATGACAGGTGGGGCATCCCGGCTTGGGCGAACAAAACCCCAACAGGATTGCGGAGCGTAATACTTCTCAGCCATCTAAGCAGGGTCGAAAAGTTAGGAAGCCTCAAGGGAGTTGTGAGAAGTCATCCCTTGTTTATGGGCCGTTGGCTCGATCAAAAGCTCGACTCCACAAGTGGTCCCTTACATTTACCGGCAACAACTAATCCGCAGACATGACATAATCTGGTAGGGCTACGTCCCAGATAATTTCTTGGAAGCATCGAGAGATGCTTGGTTGTCATGACAGGGGGTTATGAGCGCTCTGTCGAGTTTCGATAACGAATGCGGTCCACAGCACCGAGTCCGTGGTTCCAAGTCGTTCTCCAACCTCCGCGCGTCCGTGGTACTGGGCCAACCTGCACACGCAATACCGTCACATCAAAGCTGAAAACCTGACCAAGCGTCGTTGACGTTTGGGCGACGCGCGTGCCAAGGGGGTGGGAGTCCGTCCCTTCCGGGCTGGGCTTCCCCGGGCCAACCCCCCGGTCCTGTTAGATTTCGAGGAGGACGAGACTACTGTGCAGTAGTCTTCCGCAAGGCCGAAAGGGCGACGAAATGGTGAGACGACAGTCTTTCCGTTCAATAGCGTTGATGTGGAGACCTGCATGCGGGAGATCATCGCTCGTGTCATGTTTAGTACCGCACCGGTAGAGTCTCCCGACTTCAGGAGGACTGTGGAGGCAAGCAGATAAACAGGAAATGTGGAATATATAACTTGCCAACGTGGTTGCTCTCCTTTCACTCGCCTATCCTCTCTCTTCATCCAAGGCACACACTCTCATTCCACCGATCTTGAGCGCCAGTCACTCCTTTTTACACCCTCGACGGTTTACTCTATCGACGCCTTGGCAGGTTCCATCCCCGGCTCTCTCGTTCTTTGCAAAACCCAACATTCCAGGTGATTTCTGCCCTCCTTCATCAATCTTCAACCCATCAAAATGCGTTTCTCCGCTGTTGCTGTTGCCGCTCTTGCAACTCAGGCTGCCGCCTGGAGACCCGGCCGTCCCTCCGGATCCTGGGGTTGGGGTAGCTACCCGGGCAACGGGGGCGCCGTAACCACCATCATCGTTCCCGCTCCCACTCCCACCGGCAACCCCTCCGCCCCGGCCGTCACACCGGCTCCCGTCGAGGAGGCTCCCGCTCCCCCTTCCGCCCCTGCCCCCACGACCACCGCCTCCAGCGGCTCCCCCGGCTCCTCCGGCCTGACCGCCGACCAGAAGGCCGCCCTCGACGCCCACAACGCCGCCCGCAGCGATGTCGGCGTCTCCCCTCTCGAGTGGGATGACTCCCTCGCCGCCGACGCCCTGGAGTGGGCCAACCACCTGCTCTCCGTCGGCTCCCTGACGCACTCTCAGACCGCCAACCAGGGCGAGAACCTGTACATGCAGTCGAACAAGGACAGCCCGAACGTCAACGCCGCCGACGCCTGGATCAAGGAGAAGGACGATTACAACGGCGAGACCATCAGCGAGACCAACTACATGGGCTTCGGCCACTACACCCAGATCGTCTGGAAGAGCACCACCAAGGTCGGCCTGGCTGTCGCCTCCAACTCCCAGGGCACCTATGTCGTCGCGCGCTACTCGCCCCCTGGCAACTTGTAAGTCTCGGACTCGTAAATCCGCTCTTGTTACAGAAAGCTAATCAGCCCTGCAGCATCGGCCAGAAGCCTTATTAGACATCGCCACGTCAGCACGGTGTTTGTAGATGAAGAAGATCATTCAGTCACAACATGGCATAGGTCCTGTTCTGGCTGGTAGCTTGGCTGGGCCGAACACACAAACTTCTTTTTTTTTTTTTTTCCTCTTCTTTTTTCACATTCTTGCACAGCATTTTACACCCAGATGAGATTCCCCATTTCCGCAACTCGACTTCAGAAGGCTTGGATCAGCAGGTTGGGAATGGGAAAGGGGGTAGGTCACGGGTCTTCTTCCTCTGCCGCGACTTTGAGCGGATTTCCATGATGACCACATAACGAGACATAGCGAACTAGCTCATGATACCATATTTTCTGTTTCCGGTGATGTTTTCTATAAAAAAAAAAGCAAGGTTTATTTCAAGTGTACTCTCGGAGAACAAAGCTGTGATGCCACATGATTGCCGACACTTTTGAGCCTTTGGACTGCGCCTTGTCATATCTGTTATATTGATTAGATTGTCTTGGTTGTCGTGGCAGTTTGTATAAGAATGTTTGTTGAGCTTAACCCAGTTATACTGAGAAGCTGGTCGGCTCTATTGGTCCAATGCAGCTACAACATGGTTTTTGTCACTTATCATCAACGCTGTCACTGTCACTGCCAGTATAAGTATCGTGTCGGGTTCGAGTTCAATATTTTGTCTAAAGTTGACTCCTCATTCTACGGCTTCATAGTTACGGCTGCCCTGCTGCTTCGCGGCCAAACTGCACTCACTGACTTGACGTTCATCTAGCCATACAACACGGTACTTCTAGAAACCCGGCTTGCCGACTCTGCACCTTCATCTCTTGTCAATACCCAAAAGCAAGGACATCGGCCCTCTTCATCTCCGAACAAGATGCCGATTTCCCCTCCCCCGTACAGGCAATTCGCGTTCCGACCACCCTCGTTTCACACCTGGTGTCAACCTCCTTTTTGGGTCGTGGACAGAGCCATTGAGAATGCAGAGCATGATTCCCGCGTGAACCGCGAGATACGGACGATCTAACCGTTCAGCACGGTGAATGACACTGGGCGGTTAGGTCTTCGCCCTCTAGGGCTCGAGAGTGAGACTCCCTCTCCAGGCGATGCTAGGCGTCTCAGATGCTTCAGCCTCTCATGCTCAGTCTTTGGATACAATACCAAGATTCACGCGCCTAGAAGTCCAACCATCAATATCCAACAGGGTCGAAGACCTTTTCCTCCTCCGCGGCGTCGAGATTGCCGCGATCTCTGGTCTTTTATTGCTACATGTGAGTCCCCGGCAGATTCGGCTCATTTGAGCTTTCCCAAATCTCAAAGTCATGACCTCGTTGGCCGTCGGCGCTAGGCCTGCCACTTCCGCATCGCCAGCTACGGGGCGGATCGTGCCTGTCGGCGTTCGCATCTTCACCGTGCTCGGGATTTGGCTAGTAAAAGAGCATACATTGAACGAGTTGGGTGAGCTTTGGCAGACGCTTCGGGGCAGGGGAGTTGGGATCATGGTCAACGATAGAACCCGACCCGGCGGAAAACATTCTGCTGTCGAGTTCTTGAAGCACGTTTCAATAAACTGTTGATCCATCTGGAGTTGCGCCATCTTGTGACGGATAAGATGCCTCTCATTTGCATCATCACAAAGCGAGCCGCTCCTTTCTGACGCCTTGATTCTGAATACTTCTCAAGCACAACTTGCTTGCCGTTCATCGCATCCATTCTTTTTCCTTTTGTTGTGTAATGAGCTGGTTGTCGCTGTCAAATAACCCAAGTTCTATGACAACCACGACGGTGCTTCTCTGCAGAGATTTGCAACTTAATTGCGATAAAAGCACAACCTAGTTGTTGTAGAAGTTCCGCAGGAGGTGGGTATGTAGGCCATCCCTATTGAACCCTTACTTACAGCCTGGATCACCCAAGTATCAGGAGGTCCAACGTGCGGGAATTCGAGCAGTCTGGTCGCCCGCCATTCGTCGAAGCAGAATCACGAAAGCCAAAGCCAATAATGGTACCCTCCTGCCACGATAAGAGAGATTTCATAGTGCTTTTGGGCAGTAACTGACACCATGCTCCACTCGGTAAAGGTTCCAGGACAATGAACGTATGTGCATGGAAATTTTTTGATATTACAGTTTGTTATGTCGGCAACCGGCAAGCCAGCCAGGCCATGGTATGGTACATCGTAGAGTGGAAACAGGTATAAGACAAGCCAAGAAGGTTCCGTTTCCACAGGAATTTCGTATCATCTTACACTTCTCGCGCCCTCGCGCGCACGTCCGCCATCATACATCGTTCAAGCCTTTCCTCCCGGATTTTGATCCTTATCTTCGCTCATATGTGATTGGGTCCTGATCGTTGTGAATTTAGGCGCTGACGAAGCCCTTGACGTTGTTCAACCACCGGACGTACTCGCGCTGCTCCTTGACGTCAATGTAATCGGGCGCGAAGACGGCCAGGGCCTGGGTGATGCCGCGCTCCTCAAGGTAGCGCTCCATCAGGATCTGGAGGTCCTCGTCGAGGCTGCCGAAGGGGGGTCCAGGGTAGATGTCGCTGCGGGCGTGGGCGACCTCGGCGTTGGCAGCGTGGGCGAGCTTGCCGTCCTCGTAGTAGAACATGTTGTCGACGACAATGGCGCCGTCCTGAGCAGTGGCGTCGATGTTGAGCGCGCCGGGGGTCTTGCCGGGCTTCTCAACGATGATGCTCAGGCGGCAAGGGGGAGCGGCCTCGTCGAGGTCGCCCTCCTCCTCCTCCAGCTGCTCCTCGGCATTGGCGGAGCGAGCGCCACCGGAGGCCTGGACGCCGCCCTGCTTGTTGGAGTTCTGCATGTCGGAGTCGAACTCCTCATCCTCGAGAGCACGATCATTATCGTACATCTCAGGATCGTAGTTGGCGAGGTCGGCGATGGAGAAGGTAATGGTGATCCTAGATTGTGTTTTGTTAGCCAACTGTCCTCAGAGCGGCCCACTCAAGTAAGCAAGACATACTTCTCCTCTCCAAAGCTGCGGGTCAGCTTGACCTCCTCCTTGCCGGGGATGTCGTGGATCTCGAAGGGGCTGTTGTCGATGAAGTCCTTGACGCTTGCGGGGAGCTGCTCATTCTGCTTGACCTCCTCCTCGAACTGCAGCTCGCTGTCGATCTTGGAGACGAGCTCGGCATCAGTCTCGCTGGCATCCGCTTTCCTGAAAGCGGAGCTGGAGAAAGCAGATGCGCGCTGGGTCTGGACAGCAGGGCTCCACGAAGAGGCCTTGACGAAGGCACTCGGGCGCGCCACTGACTGTCTGAGGGAGAGGCGGGTGAGGGTTCTGGGCGCAGAGCGCGCAATGGATCTGATGGAAAGCATTATGGCGGATTTCTGAGGTGACTATTGAGATGCTAGAGAGTGTTCGACAAGGAGAGGTGGAAAAGCTTGTTGAAAAAAAGGTGGTGGAGAATTGGATCGAAGGCAGTAGCAATAGCTTTGCGAACACAACCTGGGAGCTCCCAAATTTTTTGGCATCAGACCAGAATCCCGGCATAACCTTTTTCCGACGTGCGCTTCACCGCCCAGCCGCAAAGTGCACTTTGAACCTCTAGGAACGGGATGGGTGTGGGGTTCTATGCAAACACTTATCCGTACTGGAGTATGGAATCCAGGTACAACAGAGGATGTCAACTCCACAGGGTCCAGCTACCTATCTGGTCGTTTGAATCCAAGGGCTAGTCTCGATCGGGTAGTAGAAGGGTCCACCGGATTATCATTTGGAGTGACATTACTCTGTACTGCGACGAATCTATGTTCCTGCTGGCCGTCCCTCGACGGCCTGGAGGTGAATGCCGCGATGGCCAGACCAGCAGTACAAAATCATCATCACACTTTACCGACGTTCGAGGCTTTTCAATGACACTGCCAAGACATGAATGGCTAACCCGCAGCCCTGATTCAATTGACCAACTTGAATGTGTCCCTCGTCTCCCACTCTATCCCATCATCGACGCCGTTTTCAAGGAAGACTAACGTGCCGTAATGCCGGTGACGCACAAGGGATGCGTCGGGTTCTCTCTCTGCATTTCCAACAACGGTTGCTTGTGCTGTTGTTGTCACTACTTATTCCAGTATCACAACTCCCAAAGCCTCCGCTCTGCTTTGCTAGTACGCAGAGCCTCTCCGATATAAGAACCGTGTCATGGTGATTGCACAGGTTGCAGACGCGGATGTGACTGACGTATTTACACATATTTCTGTTTATATCGTCAGTACTACGCTCAAGAACACCCACTCAAGTTGGACTTACTCGGGGAGGATCAAGGAATAGCAGGGTAAGAGGACGATACTTGTATATCAGCGAGAGGTTTGTTGGATACACCCGCACGACAGCAGGCTTTTTGGGAACAATGGTGTCGTCTGGCATCACGGGAACTGTTCGCCGGCAATCCCGGTAGATGATATACTCGAGAAGCCAGCAGAACGTCACGTCCCTAAGGGGCTTCCAACCATACTGACCATGATGGGCCCAGCCCATATTGTGATACCATCGTCACGAGAGGATCATTTCATTAGGCGCTCGGTATCCTAAATCTTCAGGCTGCGACATTCTACAACACCGCCTGCCACATCCCTCGCATTAGGGGCTCATAAGAATGATGAGTGGAATGGATGTCGGCCGTGCAATGTAGCACCCAGACCCGCCGGGATCTAGATCTCGTCATCGAGGGGAAAGTGATGGAAACGGCACATGTTCCGCTTAACGAACAACGTGGTTCCATTCATCTGGGTCAGAAGGCTTGGGGCAGGTCGATGCATACTGATCACTCAAAACACGGAGAGTTATAAGTTGGCATGGGGTTAGAGACTGAGCCGGGGGTTCGAAAACCCGGCTTTCGGCATCATTGTCACTTGAGTTGTGCAACATCGAACCTCGATCGCTGACGATCGGGAGCCAAGACACGATTTTTTACTGCCCTTCCGGTTTTTACGCAGTGTGCTCGAGGCTCGTCGACAACACGTGTCGGGAGTGTTTCAAGCAGGCCACTACGTTGACTTGTACATGATGCGGTCCAATCCCTGACATTACATGCTTCCCATAAGGCTATTGATGCGGCACCATCTCCATTGACGCCACACATGCTCGTCAGGTCTGACGCTTCCTCGACCCCTTTTGTGTGACGGCGTGGGACGTAGGTTATGATACAGCCGAACAACCAGTGGTTTTATCGGGCGTGTTCGATGTGGGCAGAGCAATCGCCGGTCTTCGTCTCTCGGCCTGCACGGCTGCTGTGTGTAACCGGAGTAGATTGGCTATTGGCCAAACGAGTCTCCGGATACAGCGCATGCTTGTCTGAGACACCTTCTGCGGGCATCCCCCGTCTCCTACAGCTTGCGCCGTCCTGGAACTTGCACAGGGAAAACAGAGACGATGCGAACCCCTCTTTGTTGCCTCAATCAAATCGCTGGGGGTTTCTCCCCCTCGCCCCAGAGCCAGACCTATTCACGGCCCAATACGACCTCCTCCGAACGCCAAAAACACCCCGGCAAAAACGGTTGTTCTCAAGAGCTGCCGGTGGGCGGGAAGCTGGACTTCTTGATGTTGCCATCGCTTGTGATCTTGACCCAGGCGACCGAGGTCAGGTAAGACCATGAACCCTCCCAGCGATCGAGCAGGAGTGTGTTGGACGCATCCAAGAGGTCGGGAAGGTCTGCAAATCATGTTAGAAGATAGAAGCTAGAAAGAGGTTAGGGGGCGCTATTTGATGGCCACTGACAGAACCCGATCCTGTACTCCTCTTCAAGGGTTGCAATCTTCTGCTTCAGCAAGTCCTCCTTGGGACTCGCAGGACGTCCTGGCCGACGTGTCTTCTTGACCTCGGCGTACTCCTCATCATACTGATGCACAAACCTGCGTGCATGTCAGTGTTGGTTCGTATAGACCATGAGCTGTGAGTTCAGGGACAGACTTGTGAATTAGCTCCTGGATGGCGGCCAACTCGAGGGGCTCGGACCCGTTTTCCTGGACAGCCTTTTGAAAATAACGAGCACGGTCAACTACCAGATGTCAGTCTTGATCAGTAGCGTCATGGTAACTTGACGCAATCATTTCATCTTACGCAGCGGCTGCTCCTTCCTGTTCCTTGAAGCATGAAGCTTCTCCAGCTTCTGATCTCTTATGGACGCCTTGTGAAGGCGCTTTGAGTCTCTGGAGTACTCATGTAGGGCTAGGTCATGGCCGTTCCGCTTCTTCGCAATGTGCTTACGGGCCTTTTGTAATGTTGAGGGCATCTTGACGGAGAGAACACTTGCGATAGGTTTGAAGTGAGGTATACAGGGTACGGGATAGTCAAGGTTGTTGAGAGGTAGATGAAAATAGCTCTGCTCTATGAGTGTCGGTCTGTGCCCCCACTAGATGAAAATCCCATCCAGTTCTTCTGTGCTGTGAACGACACACGGACGACATGACCAAAAAAAAAGAAAAAAGAAAAAAAGAAGAGTGCCCCACTTGGCGGAGCGAGGGTCCAATGGTCTTCAGCCAGGAAGGAATGCAGTGACGTTGGATACTTAGGTACTTAATTAGGTACATGGCCCACCACTCAGGAATACAGTGGATGGATCTTAGACGCTAAGCCTCTTTAGGGAAGTTCGAGCCCAGCCCAGGCCTTGCGCAAGCGGATGAGACAAAAAGAAAATAAAAATAATAATAATAAGAGAGAGTCGCGATATGGGGCCTGACGCGAGTGCGGTGTGGCCACTACCCGCGTTCCAATTCCAATATAGCAAGGTCAGGTCCCCTCTTCCCACCCCTGGCGATACACCGTCCCTTTCCCGTGCAGGAAGCCGTAATTCACTCCACCTGCACACCTTCACTCCTCCGACCTCAGCATTGCGGTGAATCTCTGCCGACTTCAATCCCCTCACTTCCCAGCCCTTCGTCGCGTGGCAAAGTCCAATCAGTCGCCCTTGCACACCCGTCCACTGTCGCCCCCGTTAGCTTTGTTTACATTTGCCTCCCTGATCACCTGACTTGGCGTTCCGACTCCCCCATCCTCCAACGCGGTCACTCTCTTCACGCGTACTGCCTCTCGACGGATGGACTGAACATTGGTCGCACATTGTTTGCCCGGCTGCTTGGCCTGTGAATCGGATCCGAGAGAGAGCGAAACCCCAACTCCTCGAGATCTCGGAACGCTTCTGCACTCTGTGAGGACTTGCGAGTCGTTTCCTTGAGGTCAATAATGGGCGTCTCAGGTACTTTGCCCATCCCTTGATTCCGGTCAAGCCAACGTTTTTTTACTCATTGTCGCCACCACAGGCCTTCTCCCGCTTCTCAAGTCCATCCACAGGCCAACCGAGCTGAAGAAGTTTGCCGGCGAGACGCTCGGCGTTGACGCCTACGGATGGCTTCATCGCGGTGCCATTGCCTGTGCCGTTGACTTGGCCAAAGGCAACCCCACCCGCAAGTGAGTGTGGCTCTAGCCTAGCGCTCTATCCGGCCCTTTGGAGTTATGCACCCGCTGGTTCATTTGCGCCGTACCTGACACTGCACCCAGATATGTCGACTTCGCCATGCACCGGGTGAGAATGCTCAAGCATTTTGGTGTCACACCTTACCTGGTCTTTGACGGCGACTTCCTTCCCAGCAAAGCTGCCACCGAAGGATCTCGCGCCAAACGCCGCGAGGATAGCAAGAAGTCGGCCATGGAGCTCCTCAGGGCCGGCAAGTCGTCGCAAGCAGCCCTCGAGTTTCAGAAGGCCATCGACGTCACACCAGAGATGGCTCGCAATCTCATTGACGAGTTGAAGAAGATGGACCTCCCATACGTCGTTGCACCGTACGAAGCTGACGCTCAGCTCGTCTACCTCGAACGACAAGGCCTCATTGCCGGCATTCTCTCGGAGGACTCCGATCTCTTGGTCTTCGGATGCAAGCGCCTTTTGACCAAGCTTGATCAGTACGGAAACTGCATCGAGATCAACCGGAGGGACTTTTGTGCGGTTCGGGAAGTTTCCCTGACGGGATGGACCGACACCGACTTCCGCCGCATGGCCATATTCAGCGGCTGCGACTACCTTGAGGGCATCAACAACATGGGCCTCAAGACGGCGTACCGGATGATGCGCAAGTACAAAACGCCTGAACGTTTGGTCCGGATGATCCAATTCGAGGGGAAGCATCGCGTTTCGGAGAACTACATGTCGAGGTTTGCCCAGGCGGAGCTTACCTTCCTCCACCAGAGAGTCTACTGTCCGAAGAAGAAGCAGTTGGTCTGCTTGACGGAACCTGAAGAGGGCAAAGGTGTCGAGGACATGCCGTTCATTGGCGGTTATGTCGAGCCTGACTTGGCCACTGCCATTGCAGTTGGAGACGTCAACCCCATCACTAAGGAGACCATTATCCCTGCACCTATGCCTGGCTCAAAGACGGATGCCAAAAGGAGACACTCCCAGTCCGCAGAGGCTATTGCGGCTGCCTCTTCAGCCTCAACTCGCACGAGAGCCCCAATAAAGCCGATCGACTCGTACTTCAAGGGTCATCAGCGCATCCCGATGGGCGAAATGGATCGCAACTGCTTCTCAGTCGACCCGGAAAGAGTTGCTGCCCTCACCCACAACGGCCTTGTCCCTCGCGTCTTCCCTTTGCCCAGACCTTATCTCGAGAGCACGTCATCATCACAACCGGCAGCCAGCTCCCGCCCAACACGAACCGCCCGCTCTACTACTTCTCCTCGCCTAACACGACGACGGACTGAACCCATCCAGAATCTCCTGGAACAGAATCTCCTGGAACAGAATGCCCTTGGAAGCTCTGGCGAGTCTCGCCGAGTCACGATTGGCGACGCAGCAAATACCCTAGACGATATCGATACCCTAATGAGAAGCAGCTCCCAACGACCGCCCAAGAAGGTTCGTCTCTGCGCGGACACCGATACTATTGAAACCAAGCCTGAGGAATCCCAAAAGAGCAAGTTCTTCCCCCGAAGCGGAAGCGACACCAACAAGAGCAAAAAGGACAGCTTCTTGTTCTCAGATGACTCTGTTGACGAGGCACTACTTAATCTGCCAGACATTGACGGATGGCATGCCCCGAAGCCGAAGTCGATCGCGGTCTTTGAAGAGAGCCAGAGCACAGATACGGGCACGGAGGCGACTGCAGGCACGGACAGCCAATTCAGCAAAGACGAGGAAATAGCAACAACGCCGCACACTGATCTATCCGAGACCGAGGACACCGAGCCAAAGAAGCCTGCCTCCTCGTTGCCCGAGAAGACGTCCAGACGCACGTCTTTGCAGCGATTCGCTTTCAACTCTCAGCCAAGTCCTGCCTCTTCCAGTGAGCCTGATACGCCGTCCACCACCGTCTCCCAGCACTCATCTATCTTCACGCCTTCAAGCGGCGCCCCCTCCACTGCACCGTCGTCGATCACATGCTCCGCTGGCTCGTTCGCAGCTGGCACTTCTTCTAAGGCCACCCCGCTCCTCACCCCGCTCCAGCGCATGGGATGCCGTGCCCTTCAACGCAAGAACGCGTCTACTCGCCGGCCCCTGTCCCCTACTAAGGGATCGATCCAGCGGAGTCCGAAGCGCAGTCCCCGGAAAAGCCGGCTCCTCAAGTCGATGCCCGTCAACCCCTCATTCGTACCCCTGCCCAAGGTCAATCTGGCCGAGGTTGAGGCGCTGAACGCACCATGCGGAAGCGAAGATCAGATCATCCCCGATAGCGACGGCGAGAATGAAGATGATGTCTTCTCAGGGGGGCTCGGCGCCATGGACGAAGACTCGCGACCAAAAGCTTTGAACCTATCCCGGTTCGTGTATAACTGAATGATTATCAACAACTACAATGTTCGATGCGATACCCATACACATTGCGTCATTATTCTGTTCTATTCATTGCGGAAGCAGGCGTTTCAGCAGTTAGGCACCATTCAAGGTGCATGCCCATGGCGCTAGCCAGCAGGCGACAATACACCACGGTATACGACTGTGAGGCGTTTTAGGTGTCCCAGGTAGATGGGGCATGTCTACCGATGTTGGGCGTTGAGGCCGACAACCATACACAACGGCCACAAGGTCATTATGGGCCATCAAAGTTGCTACTGACCAGAGAGCATGTGTCACTTGAAAGCAGGAAGCTGCATCACGGGGCCAACGAAACGAGGTTTATTAAGGGGAATAAAGGGACGGGACAGCCGGTTTCTTGTATGAATTTCAATAGCCCATGGCGTAGGGAGTCTTACGTAGTGATGATAGGAATATGTCGTCGTCGAGAAGCATTTTATTCACCGAAGGAGTTTCTCATCCCGCCTCTTGGTCGTCTATCAACGATGTGTGCTGGCCAGCGAGCCGGCCCACCTGCCTCCTTGTTTTCCAGCCCAGCACGTACTTTTCAAGGTTGTGACTGTGAAGAGGAATGGATCGAGACCGGCACCCAGACAGACCTCAAATGGGTTGGGTAGAGAGATGGGTTAATGACCACGGGGCTGCCGGAAGCAAGGCGGCCGTCTGAACGCATTCCCACACGCCCCCCCCCCCTTTTTTTTTCGCTCTATTAACAAAAAGTGGGAAGGGAAAGGGAAAGGGAAAAAAACTGAAACTTTCGTCAGACGTCGTCATAAAGCTCGGTACAAGTTAAGTGCAAACCGCAGTTTCGCAAGTCAGGCACGGTTCATCGGCAGGCCCGGTGAAGAGCAAAACGCCAGGACCCAAGATCGGTTCGTACACACACGCAGCATGCAGGCAAAAAAGGTGATTGAAAACCGAGACATGGTCTCGCCAACAAAAAAAAAGGCACGATGCATAAAAACCCGTCGCCGCTGTGCCTGGGACACTGGGCGTGTAAGCTGAAGACCTATAACATACACAATGCTCATGATGCGCTGTTGTTTCTCGCCCTCCCATAATGCCGTCCCCGGCAGCCCTATGATAAGTCACGCACCCTCAAGTTAGATGCAACGCTTCGTCGTCTTTTGCGTGGACAAACAAACTATTTGCCATATCCCACCTGTGTGTTCTGGCTATTCTTTTTCCGAAACCCCAGTTTCGTTAACAGGTACGGAGATCGTTATGGTGACTATCCCTGGTACATGTAGGCAGGACAACGTGAGAGAAGAAAAGCTAGGCCGATTGACATCCTCGTTGCCCAATGCCGTATTGAAGCCTCCAAACGCCCTCATCGCACGCAGGATTCTCTCAGCGGCGGCTGCTGGTGGCGGCTGCTGGCGAGGGGCCGTGTAAGTCGACGTTAAAAGTCCATCGTCCTAGGAACATTAGCTAAGAAAGTCCCGATAGAGCGAGGAGGGTCACGAGGGCTAAGATGGCATACCGTTGGCGAGGTTATCGGCGGTGTCTTCGAGCAGGATGATGCGGCGCTTCTTGCAGTACGACGTCTTGTCCATAATGTCCACCTTTAGCTTCTTGTCACAGAGCTCTGCAACAGGCTTCTCAAACATCTCCGACAAAGCCTCTACGGCCATCTCAAGATCCTTCTGGTTGTCTTCGAAGATCTCGGTCAAGTTGTTCCGCGCCAGGTAGAAGGCAAAGGCGTATGTCCACTTAAGAGTTTGCCGACAAGTCTGAAGGGTCTGTGAAGCTTGGTTGAGGTACTGCACCTCGATCCACGACATGCCAGAGGCGGTCTGAAGCTGCACCATCTTCTTTTCCGTCTTGTGATATATGTCCTTGTCCAGTTTGGCAGACTGTTCATGGTTGGCGTAGCGATTGTAGTAGTGCAGATACCGCTCCAGTGAGATGCGCGACTTGGCTTGCGCATCGCGAGCCTCGGTGCCGCTCTTCTCCTCGAAACGGTTGCAGTTGTACCAACTGGTTCCGTGCTCTGACCAGAGTCCCATACACATCCAGCAGAATTCGTGCTTGCACTTGCGGCACGTCATGTGGTTGCAGCCACCATTCTTCTCGATTGTTGAGTTGCATTTCGGGCACTCTTTGGTGTTGGCCGAGATCCAGTTAGCAGTCTCGGAGTCATCAGCGCACTTCTTGAGCCATCTTTTGACGAGCTCGCACGGCGCCGGTTGGTGATCGTTGAGGATGCAACCGAAGCAAAAGCGATGGCCGCAGCCACAAGCAACTGTGGGGACGATCCTGTCCAGCTCCTTCTTCTTGATGCCGCACTCGATGGCGTTGGGGCAGTCTGGTGCCGGGCACCATTTGAGTGTGTCCCTGTCCTCCACGTATGTCCGGTTGAGCAGCTCGTTGTACCGTGAGTTGAGGTCTGAGGCAACGAGCAGATCCAGGGACTTTGAGTCGATGATGCGGCCGCATCCCTCAGCCGGACACTGAATACGGGCAGCCTCGCCCTCTTCGCGGATCTTCTGGGTGAGGTAGTGACGGTAGCAGTCAACGCAGTATCGGTGGCCACACTTGAGGGAGAAGGTCTGGAGGCCGTCCTCATCCTCGCAGCAGATATCGCACATGAAGCCTGGAATGGCCTCGAGTTTGGGCGGACCGGTGACGTTGGAGCCAAGGCCGGCTGCCTCGAGGACTTTGTTGGAACCGTCCATGTAATCTTCGATAAGACGCTCTTTGTTCCATCTAAAGTGCCGCAACAATATCGCGACGTCTTCCTTTCGGATATTGAGAATCATGTTGACCTCGTCGATCATGTCATCCTGCTGACGTTGAATGTCCTTGGGTTCGTATACTTTGAAAGAGATGTCGTAGGCAACCTTCTTCTTTGTGTCCGAGTCTTTGATCATGCCCAGGTCCGCGTCGGGCTCATCATCGAAGTCGTCCTCGTCAAAGTCTGTAGAGGAAGTAGAGAAGTCAGCTTGTGGTAGGAGAGCAGGGAGGGTTGTCTCGTAGCAGGGGAGGGGAAGTAAGTATACCATCAGGACCAGACATGTCTTCACCGCTGTCATCCTGCATGATCTCGTCCTCGCTCGAGAGAGCTGACATGAAGTCTTCCTCGGAATCCATGCCGTTGCTCGCGGTGGTGAGAGGGGTTGGAGGAGCGTCCTGTTTGGCAGCTGAGGCTATCCTCTTTTTGGGCAAGATGTCTTGGGTATCGGAGGATATCGTCGCCTCAGCGGCCTTTCGCTTCCGCGTGGTGGGAGGAATGGTGCCGACTGCAGATGGAGGTGAGGGAAGCGTTTCCTTTGATGGAAACGACGAGGATTAAAGAGGAGAGCGGGAGATTCGGTGGCGGGAATGAAGATCAAGTCCTGGCACTGGAAAGGGAGGGGGTTTCGTTGCGTCGGTCGTGGGGTGGGAGTCACTCTGGAGAGGATGGAGGGGAGGGGCTTGATTAAGTTGCAGGCTGCGATGGTCCAAGGCTGAGGCCACAATCAGGTACAAGGAATGGATGGGGCGGGTAGTGAGCAAGTAGCAGATAAAAAAAGGTAGTAGTGTAGTTGGTCTCGAGATTAGTCAGGGAATGAAGGGGAAGGACCTCGGTCTGATGCCTGCGGTGTAGAACGAAGGCGACGGCGCGGTGGCGGCGGCGGTTTTTCGGGGGAGGGGTGGTTGTGGTAGTGTGATTCGAATGTCGCTGGCTGGCAGACTGGAATGCGAAGGGTGAGCGACGAGTGGGCTGCGGGATGTGGGATGTGTGGGATAACGAATGGATAGGTAGGGTATCCGTAGACTGAATTGAGCGGGCGGGAGGAGGAGGAGGAGGACGGGTTGGCAGTAATTAATGATGGATGCGTTGTTGGTTGCGCTGAGTGCCTGGGAAAAGATGGAAGTGCGGCTAGTGACTCGGTGCTCGGTGGGCATGCATGCGAAACCACATGTACCTCGACTGGGGGGGGGGGGGGGGGGGGGCCCTCTCTCGCCCGCTGATGTCCGGCGGGGGTCACCAACAGGCTGCATAGGCACAGGGCGGAGTCGCTGACTGGAAGGGGCTCTTCCGCAAAACACACTACCGATGCTACGTGCCAACGGTATTATTATGTATACACTGAAGACATCTACCCAGTTCTCCTGGCCTCTCAAGACGTAACCTAGAGCCGGGGTCGATGACAGCAAACTTCCGGGGCGAACAGGATTGAGATCAGGTCACTGGGCCGCATAGGATTATGATTTGCGCTTTTTACGCTTTCTCTACCATGCCTAAGGGGTTAACCACGCCGGACAGAAATTAAGGAGATGGACGAGAGCCCAAGACGGTGGCTCATTGCGAGGCTCTGCTCCGCACTAGGCTTGCTGTGCTGTGCCGTGCCGTGCCAGCGTCATTGCAAAGTGCTGGACCAGTGACCGTGTCTTACAACGAGCGGGTGACTGGCCACCTCTCCACGGTCCTTGCGGCCTGGTTCCATACCCTTGCTCCGGGCCCTGGCTGGCCGTGTTTGTCTTCCTGTCTGTTTGTCTGTTTGTCTGTTTGCTTACCCGGACTTGAGCGAAGGGTGGGTTTGGTGTCGTGAGTTGGTCGATAAGCAGGGGGCCGTCGGGAATTTCTCGGTCTAGGTGGCGTAGCCTGTCCTTACCTAAGTACGGATTAGTCGTACGCGAAACTCAACGTACCTGCTAGGTTAGTCAGCATCGCCGCTCTCGCTCAGTGCTGCTCCGGATACAAATCACCTCAATCACCCCCTCCTCAAGGTCACATAGGTAGATGACCAGTCTTTTTGATCATCAATCTAACAGAATCGGCGTGCTAAGAGTCAAAAGGACCATCAATTCTGCACTTGACCAGTCTTTGCAAAACCTTGCCCCTCTAGTTACCAGCCACCAGAAATCAGGTGCCTATTGGTTACTGGTCATCAGAAACCAGCGTTATCAGTATCAGGGGCTCTCCTGTCAGCTGAGATACATAGCAGGACGTGTGTTAAGCCAGGCTACTGGTCTCTTCCCTTACCCATACTGAGGATTGTGCAGTAGCACATGCTGGGGATGGGCAGCCGAAGTAATATGGAGGTCATGCTTTTCTAAATGAGCTGAAGGCCTTTAGTTTTAAAGCCACGATATGAAGAATTAGTTGCTTAGTGGGACTAGTAAAAACAGAATATCTGGTTTTGTACACCGGTATCAATGTGGCCTTCGAATGGCCGGGACTAGTGATATCGCATGGGAGGGGACCTGAAAACCAGTCCCAGGTCATTTAGGAAGCCTGTACATATGGCAAAAGCACTGCTGCGGCTCGCTCCCAGGCTTCCCATTCAGCCTACAGAGCAACGATACTATCTACAGCACTAAGAAGTACACACTCAAGACCAGCTGCAACGAAGACAGTTTTTCCATCGCGCAGATTGCTGCTTTGGCTGAAATTGGAGCTGGCACTAAGACGACGTGGAAGAATGTCTGTGGAGGATTGACTGGGGAGAAAGGTGTGGGTAGTTATTACAAGGTCAAGTTTAATAGCAGCTAAGATATAATTAGAATATACCCTAGGATGAATCCCACGCTCTTACCTAGCACCTAATGTCACCTTAGACTTTACGCAAATTATAGTCAAGCTGAAGAACCAAGGGGATTGTGGGTTGTTTAGAAGAGATTTAACAAGGTTTGACTAGAAGCCCTCTTTCCTTTACTATTCGAGGCTAATCTTAGTAGGCACAGTAATCTACCAGACATAACACACTATAACACGCTGTAACGATATCAAGGAGTACTAAGACTAAACAAGGGCAGTTAATGTCTATAATAGCACTAACTAAAGAGAGAAGTAGAATAATTAAGAGCAACTTCATTTAGAACAGAGTTAACAATATGTTATTAAAACATAAAAGAAAAACATCTCAACGTTGAGAAGTATTCTTGCCTTTCTTATAAAAAGTAACAGCAGCCTTATACTCAAGCAGTAATACAGTTTTGCGTTCCTTCTGATTAACGAATATGGTTTCTAGGTGAGTTTCTGCCCTATAAACAGCTCCGTTCTATAACTGATATATGTTTTAGTTTCTCATTTAGGGCTACTCTATTCTTACAGGAAGCCGAGAAAGTCTTGCTTCTGCTGCCTGGGTGAGGAGCAGTTGATCGAGTCCTCGCAACTGCAAACCACAAACCTGCCCATCTCCTTCTTCCTCCTTCCTTCCTGCGAAAACTTTTCACCTATCTCTTTCTCAAACGCTCTCAGCCAATCCTTTCTTTCTCTTTCCCTCCGCTCTTTCCACGAAGAGCCTCTTTCCTTCCAAATAAGCAAAAGGTCACCTGCCCACCTTCTCACCTTTCCTTCTCCCCGATCCGCCACAAAACTTCTTCCTTCAACTCGTCAAGTTCTTCATCATTCCCATGTTGACACACTTTCTCCCTCTCACTATCACGTCCAACAACTTCATCCCACGCTATTCATTTCCATGTCTACTTCCTCCTTGCACTCCCTTCATTCCCTACTTCATCGCGATACATCTATCACGATGGAGAAGCTCTCACTTGGTCAACAGGAATTCGTATCTCATACCAGACCTTCGAGACTTGAATCCCACAAGATGCCTTGTGTTATCAACGTGAACGATCAAGTCGCTGGCTATCCGCAAAATACCCTCACTACAATGAGCGGTCACTTCGATCCTTTCGTTACGACCTACATCTCCATCGTCGAATACAGCACCCTTCTAATATCTATTCGCATTAGGCACGTCTTCAAATACAAGACTTCTACCGATGTGGCGTACCTGATCACCATTGCGATCACTGCGTTCGTCGAGAGTCCCCGTATCGAGGACCACGCTTTCAACACCGACGAGCAGAGAGCCCGTTTGTTCCCCGGTGTGCAGGACGTCTCTTTCTGTAGCTCGATACGTCTCGTTGTCAACGTCAAAATGGCCGATGTCTGGATGCGATGCCTTGGCACGCCCCCGACGGGAAAGAACACAGCCGGTCTCAAGACTCTTCTCGATGCCTGGCGCAAGAACATCGAACAAGGTACCGCTCACGTCCAGTTTGGCTTCTCTATGCCACCGGGCCAGATCATGCTCACTAATTACGTACTTCCTGCTATCGACGAGTATGACAGCATTCATGAGAACCCTAAGCGCGCCTGGGCAGCTGCACGTGAGTTCTTCCGTGATCCCAAGAACATCAAGCAGCTAGGATGGAAGACTCTCCACGTCAACACCCCCCGACTGGACACGCCGAACGCTCCACAGGTCGTGTTTACCACAGAGATTGCTCGAATCCTCACTATGCAGATATTGTCACGATATATAAGCCACTATTACTGCCCACGTAGCTAACGGTATCGTTTTCTTACGTGACAGATGTCGTCGTACGAGGAACTATAGATCGACTTTAGAAGCGCGCCTGAGCTGGAGAGCCGGGTTTTTCAAATCGCTATTCCTGCCAGATGTCACCTCTGGACTGTCCCCTGAGGACGGCAATAGTTTCGGCATCGAGTCGGACGGAACAATTCAGTCTTACATGGTCGTTATCCCAAATATCGAAGAGGAAGATCGCAAGTTTATCCCTAAAGTCGGACAACCCCTCAAGCTTTCAGTCGGCATTGCTATTTCTGCTCCCCGAATCCATCCCAAGAGTGAATCTCAGCCTCGCTTGCCGACTCTTCTGGCGTTGCGCCGCCTTATGACCGAATCTCACGAACTCAATCTTGTCGCAAGCTGCAAGATATCCAAGACCACGGATGAAGATGTCAAGCAGCAGGCTATCCAGGACCGCGACTATTCTCTGGCTTTCCGACTGGCGTCTTTTTTGCCGAAGCCAATCTCGGCCGAACTCCGCACCAACCAAGGCCTGCCAGACTCTATCAATGACGAGCAAGCCCGTGTCATCTGCGCGACTGCATTTCTTGACAAATTTTTCTCCGTCCGCGGTGAAGATGGAATCTGGGAGAATGAGCTGATGGATACATTCACGTTCGACTTGTCGATGCCATCGCTGGGCCTCGAGCCGCCTCAGTGGTCTGGTGTTCGCATCAAGCCTCCCATGCACGCTCAAGCAGCGCAGTATACATCCTTGTCAAGACCCCCCGCGAAGTAGGATGGCCGCAACAGCTCATCCCTCCGCCGATGCTCTACAAGCTACCTAAAGTGGACTTGTCTAGTTCTTGGGAGAAAGTCATTGACGACATCAGTGAGGATACTCAGATCACCGTCTCTATGTCTACAGATCCCAATGATACGACAACCCAGGCTGAGATGGCAGCTACCTTGGCCATGGCACAGGCTAAGCCCGACACCTTCCGTGGCAAGCTCTGGGATTACGCAGCTACTTTTAGCACTGAGACCAGAATAGACATCACCACCTCGCTTCCTCTGTAAGACTTCCGCCCTGATGTCGAAAATTCGCCGAACCAGCCTCCGTACGATGCGCTGAAAGAGCTCCCGGCTGGCATGCTCGCATACACTGGAGGTCTTGCATCTGGCAAGACCACCTTCGGTCTTCAACTTGTTCGTCACCTCACTAACGCGAAGCCGAGCGCTCACGTCATTTGGACCGTACACAGCAACGAGTTGTGTGACGACGCTGCTTCTAAGCTCGGACAAGTGAAAGGCAACTCGGTCAAGGTCACTCGCATTTACCCTATGCGTCGCATGATTCAATCTCTTGCGGGAAGGCACGGATCCATGATCAAGTCGACAAAGCCTACCGCCAAGACACCCGCCCTACCCCAGACTGCCGCTGGAATCGTGTCATCCATCGACAATCATGTGCGACAAGTCGCTCGCGATGACCCCATGAGTCGAACCGATTCCTTGGTCTCTCGAGCACTTCTGACTGCAGAGGTTGATCCAGGCTTTCATACTCTCATTCAACTCCGAGGCAAAGCAATTCTCACCGAGGAAGAATGGAAACTCCTGACCGTCGAAATCCACCGCTTGATCGCCTCCGTTTTAGCCACGGTCAACATCATTGTCGGCACCCCAGTTGCGCTCGGTCAGTTGGGTAACTGCTCCAAGCTGGTCACTGAAGAGGTAAAGAAGTGGGATGCGGATGTCATCGTCATCGATGAGGCAGCGCGTATGCCGGAGGCTCAAGCTTGGATCCCGATTGCAACCTTTGACACCAAGCTTGTCATCATGATGGGAGACACCCGCCAGTTCAAGCCCATGTCCAAGAGCCTCGACAATCAGGGACAGGGGGCTGACGATGCCAAGTGGCATTCTACCTTCGGGCCACAGCGCGTCATGTCCTTGCTCTGAGCTACTTCGCGTTCGGGGGAAGGGTCGTGCGGAGCGTATTCCCGCTGATGGGTGGGTGAGTGGTGTTGCCTAGATAGTTACCTAAGCTTACCTAGGCATCGATAAGCAGCCATCTCCCATCCAGTGCTATTTCGCCCCTTTGCATTTGTCAGGAGCGGCCGGGTACCAAGTAGCTCCGATGTCGCCGGTCGAACGAGCTTGTTGGGTGCCCACGAATATTCCGGGTCGGCCAGCTGCACCGGTAAGCTTCCGTCCCGTCCGAACCATGAGGCCCGTTCCATACTTTCTCTGAAGCTGATGTGTGCAGACGTTATACCCAGCCATGCGATAAACAAGTGTTCCGGCTCTCCTTGCAAGTGCCAATGTCTCTGCGTGTGGCTTCTTATTCTTCTTGTTTTTCATCCTATATCCCTTTCATGCGTTCGTCCGAACTCAAACGTCTGCCTAGCTATACAGCTCTGCCGTCTTCCGTTTTGCGCCAAATAGTTATGGTATATTTGATGTTTGCCTATATATATCTCTGCATGTGGCTTCTTATTCATCTTGTTTTTAATCCTACATCCTTCTGATACGTTCGTCCGAACTCAAATGTCTGCCTAGCCATTCATCCAACCTGCTCCAATGTGACATCACCCGCTCAACCCAGGACCGTGTCGGCCAAGGAAACTGGCGAAACTTGTTAGCCCCATCCTCTCATCAAATGCAGTGGAAGAGATCTCACCCTTGGTGCCAATGTTGTCGGGCTCGACGTGGGCCTCCTTGACCTTGCCGTTCTCGATAACAAGAGTGTAACGCTTGCTGCGGTCGTTGCCGAAGATGGCTTTGCTATCGAAGTCGACCTCGAGCGCCCTGGTGAACTCGCCGGAGGGGTCACCCAGGAATCGGATCTGTCGCCGCGTCAGCTACCCACTGTGCACTCAATCATATTCATCAACAATGGCTCAACCTACGCCAGTCTCGCCAGCGGGGTCCAATTGATCACCCCAAGCCTTCATCCTGTCGACTCGTCAGCATCATGAATTTCCCTCTCGTGCAATCCATCGAGAGCGACCTACACAAAGGGGTCGTTGACGGAGACGACAAACACGGCGCCCTGCTCCTTGAGCTTGGGGTGTTTGATGTACGAGGGGATGTGGCTCGCCGAGCACGCGGGCGAGAAGGCAGCGGGGACACCGATGATGAGGCCATTGCTGACCTTGGCGAACTCGTCGGCGAGGTTGACCTTGTTGCCGGGCGAATTCTCCACGAGCACGTCGAGGCTGGGCACGGCGTCGCCCGTCTTCACCAAGGCGCGGGGCGTCGAGTGGAAAGCCCTAGCAGGGACAGCGGGACGCGCGAGGGCGACTCTTCTTGCTGCGAATCGAAAAGCCATTGTTGTCGGTCGTGATGAGTATCGAGGAAAGAGGTGGTTGTGCGAATCAATTGGCGTCGTCGAGAGGCCGCGATGGTGATGGGAGACGGAGTAGGATGTCGGATGCAAAGTTGTTATTTTGGGGATAGCAGACGGTTGGGGGCGGAGGAGGCCTGGGGGAGCTCCCTCGAGCTGAAAGCTTTAGGAGGGGCGCGCGCGCGCGCACGCCCACTCACTCACCAGTTGAGGTTGAGACATTCGCTTAGCTGATCTCGCAATTAATTATGACATCAGACTAGCGTTTCTAGGCGCAGCCGAGACTACCCAAACAACAACCCCCACTGGGACCAATAGGTACAACAATCTCCGTGTTTCCACGCCCGTAGCATTTTGAAGCAAACATGCAGTAGGTACATGGCACTACATAATACTAGGTAGGTAGCTTACGCATACCACACCAATAGGAGCAAGCCTCCCCTTTCTTTTTCAAACCTCTGAATCACCGTTTGCTCAAAGTCCTCGTCCTCCTATTCACCGCATCACGGTCGAGATGCACGCTTCAATTAGACATTTTATCGTACTGTAAGTACTGGGTATCATTGATTAACGAGGGCAGATCAAGCGTTGCGCCCTCGTGTCGCTATATCTTCATCACCATTTATTTCCGCCATCCGTCCCCGTGAGGATGTTCGCCAACCCTCAATTCCTGCCTCAAACTCCCATCAGCAGCTGGTTCGCCGACACTGTACCTACTGGATGCGAGACTGCCCATTGTTAGCATCTACACCTGGTGCGGGAAGCGTGTCTACCAGGAAACAAACCTCCAAGTCAAATTCCCGGTACAAATCGTCTTGAGCGTTGCAGCGATCTGCCGTGTTGCGTCGCTGTCTGCTTGGCTCTGGTTGATGAGCCTGCGTTCGCAGATGTCGAATTGCCTGACCGCCTTCTCGATGTCATCGACAACCTCTCCGACGACTGCCTCCAGATCCCCGTCCGGGTTGTTCCAGAGGCGGACCGGCACCACGCTGAGAGTTCGCCCTTTGCGCTGCAAAAGTGTCAGTCGTCGCCAACATACGCAAGACATGGGAGTCCTTACCAACTCTTTTCGCAACGAGAGCAGATCATTCGTCCTATCATGCAGCCGTCAGCTTCTTGTTCATTCCAATCCGAGATTTCTGGGCGACAAACAGGCCAACGACGATGGCCACCGACTGCAGCATCATCTTGAACGGGTGAGAGTTAAAGACGGTTGACGGCCATTCCAGGCCTGAGGCGAACCTTCTCCCGTCAGCACAGCCTCATCTCATCCTAACATCCTCTCAACACTCACTCTGCTAACGCGCAAAGAGGGCCTGTGCCCGCCGTCTTCTTACGAAGCATGTCGTATTTGAGGTCCGTCGGCACCTCACCACTGTCGATATAGCGCATCTCCTGGACCGTTGAATCAATGTACTCAAAGAGGCTGGCCTTCAACTTCCGTCGCTGATCTGGAATAGTGTGTCAGTTCGCAGTCGCCGCGCTGACGATCCCGCTCGCGCGGCCACTCACCTTCGTCGTACTGCTGGCATACCATCTTCGCAACCGGTTGGAAATCCGAGATGATGGGTGTCATCGCCGGCTCCGTTGGCCCCTCTGAGAGTTGGAGGTAATGCGCAATGTATCCTTTGGCGTTGCTGCGAAATTCCTTCGCCTTGGCTTGGCTTTTATACTCCAGGGCCTCAATGTAGTCATCGAGTCTACCCTGCCAGAGGACCATCAACGTCAATGTGCCGAGCTTTCCTTTTGATACGTTTGGCCAGAGGCTGTTTGCGCCGCCGTCAGAACGAGCTGTTCAAGCGGTCTTTTTCTTCTTCAATTTTTTTTTTAATTTTTTTTACTTTGCGAAAGCGAAACTTACCTGGACGCAAGCAACGTCGGGTTGGCCTCCCTGACGTTCGCTATATCTTGTGCAGGAGCATTACTGCACGACGGTATCAGTACATCGAAAACCTCGCAAAGAGCCAACACAACTCACTCCTTGTCCAGAAGGCCGTTGATCAACACCTCAATGTCGGGGGCGTGGACGTTCCTGCCGGACGGCCAGTGGCTGAGCATCCGGCGCAGGTCAGGGATGATAATCACCCGGCCGTCGAGCTGGCTCGCCAGCTGGGCGCTCTCGGTTTGCGTCACCGCCATCTCTCACATTCAGTCACCTTTCTACGAACCGGAAGAAAGTTGTCGGAAATCAAGTTGTTATTTCTCACAGATGCCGAATCTGGTGTTTTGGTTGAAGACGTGTTTGCGTTTCGTTTTGAAAAGGGCGTGTGCGTGTGGTCCAGTGTGGAGACGCTGCGAGATTGTGTCAATGCTACATACCCAACAACGGGTGGGTAGCTTGGTATAGTAAACCCCCAGAGAGTGTGCCTTAATCACACTTACCCATCCGATTTATGCAAGTGAATCCATGTCAGGCCCGAGAGCAGCCCCTCCTAAATCCATCTTAGAGGCTAGATAAGGCTTCTTTAGCTGGGGCGCGGGGTCACCCGCGCGTGGCTGGAATCCACATGTGTTTGGGAGTTGTCAATCACTCAATGAAGGTTTGAAACGAGCTTACTAGCCCCGGCAATCGTTGGTGGATAACGGGGGATGCCACTACGATAACTTGGTTGGCAAACACATTCGTACTCGGCATCGGGCGATACGGGGTATCAGGCATCGCAAGAGAAGCGGTGATGCAACACAACAGTAACATATATATAACCGGGCCCCCAAGAAACCAATTGCGACTATCAAAAGCAGGTCAAGGTTTAATTAAGCCAAGTCCACCATCCACTTACCCGCAGCAACTCGACGTCATCTCGACATGATTCCATCCTCATCGCGCATCTGTTTCCGTAGTGTTTGAGGTGATGCTTTTTTGGCATGTTTGAGACCTGCGCGAAAGGCCTAGGAGACAGGCTTCAAAGTTGCGTATGGCTAAGTAGCAGGAGAGGGCAGCAGCCTCGGCATCCGTGCTGCCGCGGTTTCTGTAATGGCCTGCAAGGGGGCTGACTCATTGGCGGAGGCTTGTTGATATGTATTTATATACATACGCTGGACGATTCGATAAGAGCCGTTATTCACTCATTGTATGGAAATGCGTGGATCCAAGAAGTTTGGCGCTGATCCCTAGCACAAACCAACCTGAATGGCTCTGTTGCGCTGCGTCTTCCGCTGCCATGATGTGTTCAACAGTGTATACACTTTGCACAGCCAACCAGCTAGTAGGGCACCCTCGTTGTCCTTGCGCCTGTTTGTGTTCTGAGGCAGAGACGAAACCTGTCTGTAGGTTACTGGTAGCAGCAGATGGTAGCAGCAGATGGTGCATCCAGGCCCGGACACTTCCTATTAAGCTTTGATGCTAGTGCAGGTGAATTACTACTTCAGTCGGCTATCGCCAGTCGGAATAGAGTGATTAGGTGCATTTACTGCCCACGTTTCCCAGCTTCGTAAAGTGGTGAAAGTCATCGACGAACTAACAACCCCAGCGCTCTCACGGACCACATCGTTCGATCAAAACCTACAAGCCAGATGTCTAACTCGGGGTGTATTTCCAAGCAGGCATTGCGTACAGCCTCATACTGTCGCTCGATTTCAGTAGCTGGAGTGCATAGAACCGTGCTCGGCAAGCTGTTAACCGTATTTCAACCGAATTTCAATAGGTATCTGCCGACATTCCGTTTGGAAATCGCCTCTTCTCCTCGGCCCAGGAAGCCTCACGTCCGCAGATCGCCTCGGACCACCGCCAATACAAGCACAATCCGTCATGCCCTGGCAACCTAAGAGACTCCAACACCATGTCCTTATTTGTGGTTAATGCTACTATTAGTGCTAGAAGGTATGCAGAACCATCGATGTTCGAACTAAGGACCCATCCCCTGCCGAACCCGAATCCCACGACCTATATCCGTAGTCCAGAATCGCTCGCAGAGAGAGCTGAGTCATCAAGCCCACGTTACATTCTGTGTCACAAAACTCTTTAAACCAGGCTGCATATCTCCAATCGTGGGCACACAATCATACCTCTCGTCGGGGCATCTAAAGCCCCTTGATGAGGGCCGCCGCTCTCTTAAAGGTTCTGGCGGCTCGCAGACGGCATGGAGGATTTGCTGCCCTCGTCTCCTGCTCCATCTCCTTCACTCTCGCCTAACTGGCACTTTAGTTTCTGCACCAACGACCTCGTCATCTCTTTTACAGCGAGCAAGGTAACGAACAGGACCGAGCCTATCCCACATACGACGGAAGAGCCTCGGGTCTTGATAAATTCGTCATCGCGTCGCGGACCGCAGAATAGATGAGTCCTCTTGTCTCGAAACGCGCGGAATGCTTGAGGCCCACAGAGGAAGGAATACAGTTGCTGCGTCTGCATTACATCTATCACGACACGATTGACATAAGAATCTTTGGCATGGCGTCGAACGAAGCATACCAATAATCCTTCAAGTCGGAACACACACTATCAGCGCCAGATTGCCCACGTTTCCGCCGATCACCAGGTCCCCGTCACCCTCCCGGTGCGGACTTGAGTCTCCTGGACATCATCGCTTCATCTTCTCACAGGCAACAAGAGCTTTGATATGTTACGATGAATATCTCCATACTGGTGTAGCACTAGTAGCTTGGCAATTGCAAATCTAGAAACGAGACAACGTCCTGTCGGTCCAGGTCTCTGCCACTGGCCAGGATCCGCTTCGAGTGCCAGGCACAACACAGAATGGTAAAGCCCTCGACAACTACTGCAGCAGAGTTCCCGTCCCGGCAAAGAGGGTTGCGTGACGGCTCAGCCTGACCCTCCTTGCATGTCTTGGGACGACCAAGCGCGGTCCTCTCATGTACATGGCAAAGGACGGTCAAACAATCTACTCTGCTCGGAAGCAAGCGAGCCGTGGATGGACGAGAGAAGCAACGGGGCAGCGCAAACCTAGGGCCTAGTCCCACCTCGCCCTGACTGCCGGCTTTGGCGATACTCGAGGCTCCCGCAACTATTGACGTGTGACTCTCAA